TCGAGTTGTAAAGGCCTCAGTTTCATTGCAGACGGCCTGCTCGGAGCTTATCACTGGGACCGATGGCCTCCTTCCCATCGATTTATGTTTGTCTTTAACGATTTTGGTGCCAAGTTTTCGACAACACTAAGAGCTCTACTGTGCTCCAGCTGGGATCTGGCCGTAAACCTGCCATTTGCAATGGGCTGCTTGTACGACAGAATACTGCTATTTTAATCAAATGCAATCCAAACCAGTCCCCTTTTTGCGATGGGTTTCGTCGCAAAGAACTTGGGCCCCATTTTAAACAAGCGGACGTTTCTCTAATACATTTCGGTTAATGCTCTGACAAACCAAACCGAAGAACTCAGCGGCTGGTGGTGTTTACTGAGTTACTCTCGGGAGCAATCCATGTGCGGCTCAAACACAAATAAACAGCAAAGCGTCTGACGAGCAGGGACCCAGCGTCGGAAAAGGCTAGCGACTAAGCTGCTAAAGACATCAGCTTGCTTTGCCGACAGGAGAGCAAGAGGAACTAATTCAACCACAACCACAGTGACCGCTCCAGTCGTCTAGTAATCAGGAGGCCCGATAGACTAGTTTGGGGTTTAACAGAGGCTCGGAGCAAAAAAGTGAGAGAGAAAATGAGAGAGAGAGAGAGAGCGAGAGAGAGAGAGAAAGAGAGAGAGAAGGGTTTCCCTTCTTCACATGAGGTGTGTGAGCACACGGTAGAAAAGATAATATAGATCTGCTCCTAGCGAAACGGTCCGGACGGACTTAAAGTTTCCTACTCCAAAAGGAGCAATAATACAACCAGATAATAAGAATGTTTCCCCAAAAGGAGTTCCAGCACTCAGACAGCCGGCAAACTGCCTGGTCGTTTAGGCGGGCAAGTTGTTGGCTTCTCATTAAAATGATTAGAAAAGTTTTTTTTTCACATGGGATGGAGGGGAGCAAGGTCACCGGGATGGGGGAAAGAGTACATTTACAACGACAACAACGACAATACATGACATTTATACAGCGCCTTTCACGTCTGGAGTGCGTACCAAAGCGTTGGGAGAGTCCGAGGTGGGTTAGGTTCAGTTAAGTTAGGAGGGGTTAAGCAGAGAGGTTAAGACCCCAGTTCACTAGATCGGTTCAGGTGAAGATAAGACCGTACTTGACGGAATTTGAGTATAAGATAAGTGCCGGGCGACCAAAAGGTAACTGCAACAACAAAAGCTTGCACTTATATAGCGTCCTTCACGCGGGGTAGCGTCCTGGAGCCATAACTACTCTATTATCTAAAAAAAATCATAATTTGTTTAATTATTAGACATTGTAATGGTATCACGACTTTTTGGTCGCCCTGTTATTCAAGTAACAAGGCAATTGAGGCTTGAAGCCAGTCGAGGACATTGTCAATGTGTCCCTTGGTCAGCCTGAGGAATAAGCAACAAACATCTCTCCGCCTCAGTCGCCCCCCACAGCCCTCCTTATTGCACTTAACGCCCCCTTTTTATATAATATCGTCTTAATATCACAAAAACATGAAAACACTTTTCCTGATTGCAGGTTGGCTGCAGATCTCTGAAAGTGAAATACAGTTCGCGCGCAATTTTTTTGTGTTTTTGCCCCCAAAGAAGGATCGTGTTCACAATCTTTCACCCCAAATAAATGTGTTTTGCGCTTTGCGTTTAGTTAAGCTTTAACTACGAAACCAACCGGATACACGGTAACTGGTTAGCCTTATGTTTCACTGTAAAGCCAATTGCACTGTTATTCTATGAGTTAATAGACATGTTTCTATTATCGTGGGTAAATATTGCCATCTGGTGGGGCGATTGTGGTACCGAGATAGATGTAAAAACAGTGAGGGATTGGGTTTCTGAACACAGGACTGATATCCGTTAAATCTCAGGACTTTAATCCTGTTCTTAAACCGAAACCCACTATCCTTAGACAGATTAGGGAACGCAAGCCTCGGCACAAACCAAAAACAAACAAAACAAGAAGAATTAAAAGTTCAGATAAAAGTTCAGATTATTTCCAAAAATCCCCCCAAAGCGCCCGCCAACAAGGATATCCAGTAAACTCCAGGTAACTCATCACTCCAAGGGAAAAAGGGGCTCAGTGATGAGTTATCCAGAGCGGTCTGTTAGGAATATCTGTTAATACATAAAGAAACGCGGTTGGGATACTGACAGCCCGATGACTAAAGTGGTAGTGACAAGTTAAAACCAGGGTGGAGCTATCGGGAATTTACTGTTTATTTATTAAGCTCGTTTCATGGGAAAATAGGAAATTTAGAAATTCCGAGTGTTTTAATGTCAACAGTTCGAATGATGAGTTAAATGAGAGACACCACATGGGCTGCGATGGAATGACAAATCAAAAAAAAAAACACAGTACCAAGTAACTTGGGAAAGTAGAGGGAGCACAAAAAGTCGAGCCAGGAGATTGGACTTACTTAGGAGACAGCGTAGTGCTGTGCTGGGATGACGCTGGTGATCTGGGAGGACAAGGTCAAACGGGCCAGAGGATGCTTCGTTTCGGTCGGTTTAATGCACACACACACACCCTGCGCATCGCTCCTCGCCGGGATCTGGTACTTAGCGGCCGTGCCAGTTGGCTGGGACGTGAAGCCAGCCAGAGGAATCCACAGCCGACACGGTTTGGGGTAACATGGAGCAGTTTTCAATTCCTCGGCCTTAAAATTGTATCGTCGGAATGACTTCCGAATGGAACGGTTGCGGCCGTCAAGTCAGAGGGGTGGGTTTTAATAAGGATCTCAGGCGCCCAATCTCCGCGCATCAAAGGAGATTGTTCCATGTTCGTCGGTTCTTCTGGCACATGAAATTATCCCTGATTTGTTGCACGGGATAGAGGGGGGAGGGAGGGTCGGGGGGTTAGGGGTGGAGGAGAGTGAATATAATTGGATATAACTCCCATTTATTCCCACGTCTAATGTAATAATCACATCATTATGATGTCACTGTGAAGGGCGAAGAGGAGATGTGAGAGGCGACTTTAACACATATTTTTTGGGGGGCCCCCAAAACGCCAACGAAACCGTTCCGTGGGGAATAAAGTAAACGCAAAGGAACAGACTAACAGAGAGCCGTCATTGCCGTAAGCAATCAGGCCGGCCCCCATTCTTTTTAGCAACGTTTCAACAGCAACAACAACTTGCATTTATAGGGCGCCCTTCGCGTAGGGTAGGTTCCTTGAAGCGCTCTTTCCCCTCTCTGTACCCTGCCCTGAAAAAACGCTGCAAATGCTCTCCCCCTTTTCGAACCCTCTCCCCTGCAAAAAAAATCAAATAATCAGTGGCCAATTATGGCAAGTCATTTGTTTCAGGGTTTTTTTTTAAAAAAAAAGTACTCCCGGCTCCTTAAAGGCACCGTTTCTGGCCGGGGTTGGTTCAGTTCTGTGGGCGTTGGCAGCTCAAAGGCCCCCTATTTCACACACGGTGGAGGGCAGCACAGCTGAGCGTCAATACTGCATCATTCTCGGCCCAACGCTCGCACGGGTTCAGTTTTCACTGGGTAGGAAGCAGGTCATTTTCCCCCCTGCAATGGGCACTGAGGGTAAATTGCATCACTCCGGTGCAACAAGTTACCTCAAGCGCAGACTAGGAATCGAACCATCTAATCGGCTCTTCGAAATGAGTGCGGAACTCTTGAAAATGCTTTTTGCATCGAACATTTATACACTTTTGGTGAATTTATGGAACTATTTTTTACCAGGGGAGTGGGGCGGTGGGCGTGGGTTACCTGCTCCATGAGAAATCTTTGCTGATTGCTCTCTGACACGACATAATAAGAAAATCATCTTTGCATTCAATATACAGAGCCTGACCGTGTCGTCGAGACATCTGAAAGTGCTTCGCAGAATATACATTGTAAAGTGGATTGATCGGCGTATTTTGTGGCCGAAACCACTGCCTCCAAAATATTGTCTCTCTGCACAGTTGTCAGGAAGAGGGTTGCAGAAGTCTGCGCGACTCTTTACGGCCGTCGGGAGTTTATGACAAGGAAGCACGGGAAATAAATTGCAGCGTCGTGAACTGCAAAGAGTGCTCACGGGGTTCCTGTCATCTCCTCGCGCGCTTGACACAATACGTAGCGATGACAGTGATTTCTTACCTTTGTCTTGTGGCTCACTCCTCTCGATTTGATTTGGCCAACGGGGACCTTGCAGGGGAGAATGACCTGATGCTCGGCTCCTGCCTGAGGTCTGACTGAACTGTCGGGTGGAAACTCATACCTTTATCTTATTAAATTAGCGGCAAATATTTTTGAAGCCCCTTCTACGGCGAAGCCCGCTGGTGTGGTGTCAGAATGGCAGCGCTGATGTCACAGCTGATTTCTTGTGATATCACAAAGCGAGTCAAGATTCATTCATTTACCAGCGCGTGATTTGGGGGGGAAAGGGAGAAAAAAAAACACAGAAAAATAATTATCCTTGTGTTTTAATTCATCGCCTTTCCTGCGGGGACAATGTCTCGCTGGATTTGCTGCAAGGTGTAGCGACTTGTGTATTTTTATAGGCAAACTGCGAGACGGGAGATAAAACTAGCTGCAGTCTTGATAATGCTACCAGTGGAATATTTTATGGTCCTTCGTAAATTTCTGGCTCTCCCAAAACTTCTGTCAGCATATGTTGTGCGAGACGCAGCTGAGCCATAGGGATCAGGAAAATCCCAGACTGTAGTGTGAGCGCTCTGAGCTGCTACCCTGTATGAAGGGCGCTATATAAATTGTGTGAGCCTGACTCACTTTTTTTAATTCAATTATATTGGTTCTTTTTTGGTTTACATCGTGCCATTCATTTCTGATCTGGAAAAGGTGCCGTGCTGCGTAAGGGACCACAAATAATAATAATGAGTGTTTGAAAGCGAGCAAGAGAAAAGACGAGCAGGTATAATGGGAGAGCTGAAGGCTGTCGGGCAAGTGCACTGGTAAAGTACTTTACGTAAGAGGTGGGGAAAGCAGTAAATCTGAATATTGTAGCAAACAGAAAAGCCAGACCCGAAATGATCACTAATGCGGAACATTTTATTACAATCCGATATCCTTCAAACAAAATGCAAAGTTACATTCTGATGCGAATACAGCACGGCCGCTTTTTTTTTTGTTGTTAAAATTATGCGTTTTACACATCGTTATAAACTTGGAAGTAAGTGACCAAATGTTAAAATCTACAGTTAACCACAGAACTAACTGCGTCGGGATTCTACACGAAAACCACACTAACGCTTTTCATGCACGACTTCCGTCTCGGTTCGCAACCCGTCGACTTGAAAGCATCTTATTTACATCATGTAGAAAAATTAACATCTCCGTCCAAAAAAGAGTTTTGACGTGACAAGATTTTTGCGGAATCACAATCACAGATCAAATGATGTTTTGCGGGTACGTACGCACGTACCTTCATCATCTGACCAGATACAAGGCACAGAGTAAGATCACAACCTCAGCAGATGGAGCTGAACGAAGGTTACTGTTAACACGAGAACAATCTAAAACAGGACAGTAATGCTACATTATCCCCCCACCAAACAAAAAAAAGCTGCAATACACTCGATAGATTGGAAAATTCTGCTTAGGGTGGATTAAGCTGTATAAATACGTTAATTGTTTCTCTTGCGTAAAGCTGAATGGAGTGGGAACAGATTCAGAGTGTGGTCAGAGTGCATATCCCTTTCTGATAGCATAGACTAATCTATCTAAAATATATACCCGCTTAAGGACAGTATTAAAACATGTGGATCTCCTCACAGTTTCTTTACAGGTTGTTTGAAAAACTTTTTTTTCTGTTACAAAGTACTTATGCTTACTCTAAATTAGCTGCCTAGTTTTTTTTAAAATCGTGCATGCCTGTGCCAATTCTTTTCTCGTAGCTATAAAAGTATTACGCTAGTTGGTTAAACGCGATAGTGTTGGAAGAAATGTTATGGAAAAAGCAAAAGGGACTGAATCTCTGCAGCTCACAAACAAATTGTCAAATATTAGTCAATTTAGTACCAAATAAAACCGAGTAAAAATTACAATCAGTACAAAGTTTTAATCGTTTTTTTTGAAAATAATTCGGACAAACTAAAAAAACAGAAAGTAAAAGCAGGATTTGAACAGCGCTATTACCAGGTGTAATGACCGGAATCCTCACGTTATACAAATTGTTGAAGGTTGAGAGTTTTTGCCGAACACAAATGCGGATTAGTGTTAGGATTGGTCTGAAACAGGCAATGGCATGTTGTGAGTCTAGTTTAAGGCGAGCTATCGCTACAGGAAGCAGATTCACAGTTCTGCTGCTCTCATATCCAAGAAAATATTCAACGACTCCATTGGCCCACTGACGTGTGCAGTGTAAGGCTGACACCACGACACAAGACCGATAACAAGGCAGGACAAACAGTACTCAACTGCATTAAAACGCTAGCGTACGTCAAGACTTCAATGTTACTGCAATGTACACGTGGGGTTAAAGTGATCTGCAAACAAATGTCATGAAATACATGATAACAATTTATTCACTCACCATGAAAACTATAGCCTGTACATACATACATACATACACACACACCCACACACAACACACACGCGACTGCTACACAGGACACCTGAAAAGATTGCTTATTTGTCATTCATGCATTCATTCAATCTGCGTACTAAAGATGGTTCATGAATAGGAAAAGTAAAACTTTCACTTACAGGAAAGGATCAAAACATAAAAATGGACAATTTGTGCAATTCCACCCCACCCTCGAAAAAACTGGATTAACTCTACACAGAAAAAGTAGATGACATTCTCCAATTTACAGAGCATTGTCTGAACAACAAATTAGTTTAGTGTTATCATCTCACCATTGATAGTTCCTATGGTGGCAAACTCTAATAACCCATGTTAAATAAAAGCTGCCAACTGCCATGAATATTCCACCCATTTACTTTATGGATTTTGATATTTCAAACTTGGACCACTGAATGTTGATGTTTTTATTCATTTGAAAGCATAGTCTATGAGCTGACGGTGATGTCCCTTCAATGGAGGTTTTTTTTAAAAAAATGGTAATTTGCTGAATCTAACAAACAGAATGTGTATTTGTCACATTATACAATTGCAGCCACTATAAATTGGGTTAGATTTATTATAATAATAATAATGATCTTTGCATTTGAACAGTTGTTCGAAACAAACTAAATCTAAACAATTTAAAGGTACAAATTACAGTCAAAGTCACAGGACAAAGAGGGGGAAACTAGTTTCAGACAAGCTGGTCTTTTAAAAAACATACGTGGTGCAAATGTTAAGATGCACCCACTGCACTAGAAAGCATTGGTACACAGTTAAGATGTTAAAACAGTTAAGTACAACATGAAGATAGTTCCATGTGACATGGGCAGAACATGGCACATGCAACTGTTGCTCACAAAACTTGGTTCAAATCGTCTACATGGTTAATACTGGAGACAGGGAGAAGAGGTTGAGATGAGCTGTTGGTACTCTGGCTTTTCAGGCTCTCAGTTGAGTCCGAGGTTCCTGCAGAAAAACACATTGTTGGAGGCAGAGTCTCGTTTTAGACGACAACTGTTTCAATCCCAACATAATATAGCGGCAGCGACTTCGTAAAAGCATTTGACTTTTTTTTTTTAAATTCGGGTTTGGGAGATGAATGCCTCGTACTGTAAATGGTAGTTTTCAACAAGGCCGGTGTCAGCTTCTCTTTGAAGTCAGTCGTGCATCTTTTAAACCCATTATTTAACCATTAGTTCAATTCATTTGAAGCCCTTTGTAAAATTAAAAATATCCGACGACTGAACTGAGAAAGCACATTCTTGAATAATGTGAGGGTCAGCCATGCGTCAAAAAGATAACCAAACCAATGATGCTAAGATCTCACTGGTGTACGTGCGTGCCTGTGTGTGTGTGAATGTTGCGTGCAGGGCATACTATTGACCAAATTTGAACAAGCGCACAGGGTTTGGCTTAATAGGAGTTTGTCTTCTGGGGTTCAGGACTACCCAGCCAGAGGCTGTATTGTCCAATGCCTTGGGATGTCCTCCTGCCATGAAATTTGTTGTTGTCTTTTGGAGTGAGGGGGGGGGGGGGGGCGAAGTACGGAAGTTCAATTTAGTTTCTGAATAAGATTAAACGGGAGACGTGAACAGCAAGGCAAAGAACTTGTCTGAAAGTCTCAGCCGTGTTGTTTTCTGTATAAGCAAACGGATGTAGGAACAGCCATCTTGACAGGGAAATTGGAGGAACTGTGGTTGATTAAATACCAGAGAACTGAGAAAGGGTTTACTTTGTTCTGGCAATAATGAATGAGATGCCACAGATGGATTGTTCTGGGATGAGGTGAGCACAAGGCAGAGCAGCAGGACACAAAGTACCACACACTGACTCATCTGAAATCATAGTGAAACATCAAAGTACTCTGAAGATTGCAGAGAGATTAAGGAAAGTGGTGACGCAGTCTGAGATGTGGAGAACAGATGTTGTAAAAAATAAACCAGACGGGTTCCCTTAGGTGAGAATAAAATAATTTGGTCAACGAGACTGTATGGATAATATTCCGGGTTATAAATGCATTGTATCTTACAGTCTCACATAATATAATAATGATCCTTGTATTTGATACAGCGCCTTGTCAGGTCTTCTAGTCCTTTCAGCGCTTTGGGACGGCCTCCCGACTTGAAAGGCGCTCTATAAATGTAATTTTGTTGTTGTTGTTGTTCTAGTCGTCTCAAAGCGCTTCACAGAATATACTGTGAAGTCAACTGACTGTATATTTTGTGGGCGAAACACAGTTCATTTGCCAATCTGCTACAGAAATATTCAGCAAAATCACAACATCAGAATAATCTGCCAAATAATCCCATTTCTTCCTATTATTAACTCTTCAGATTGCATGGTCTGCGTGGCCTTTGAAACCCTTAATGGGAAGTTGAGGAAGAAACGGTTATTAAGTTTTTAAAGGCGAAAAGTATCCAACTGCAATTGTGTGCACTTCCTACCTTTTAGATGGTTGTATAAAAGGAATAGGAAATTGACACCTCATTCTGTTTTTGACAAAGGTTTCATCTCAACTATTATGGCGTTTGTAGAAAAGCTCTTTCTATTGTAGTGTTGATTTGTGGCACTGTTGATTGATTCTTTCATTTGAAAATTGAATAGCCCTGAATAACAAAGATAGACTAACAGTTGGCTAAGAAATTATTGAAGAGAGGTGCAATTACTGTACAAATACATTTCATTCGCTTTTTAGGACAATCCAAAGAAGGGATTCTCATATTCTCCACTATCCCATTATTCTTTGGATTTCTGCAATGGAGCATTAGGTACTTACTAATATTGTTTGGATACTTTTATAGAAAAGGAGGCACAACCTTTAAAAAGAGGAATGTTAAGTTATGGGTAACAAGATTCTTAATATGCCCAGCAATTGTAAATTATGGATAAACCGGTTGTTTGCATTTTTTGTAAAGTAGAGCAAACAATCTCTTAACTCTTACTAGAAACACAAACACAGAAATGAATATATACAAGGCATTTTATAACCATAACATTTTTGTTTGTGCATTTTAATTCATAACATATGTTGTTTAAAACCGATTCCCTTCCAACTATTGTCAGGCTGTGAGCTTGGAGAATGTGTATAAGCATTTCTGCACCTAAACAAATTTCCCTTTTTCTCGGTCTGTTGCAGATTTGAGATGGTCCTGTACAATTCACAGGATAGGAAATGAAAGAAAAATGTCTTGGTAGAAAATCTGTGTGTTTTAAAAACCCTGTCTCGGACACTCTGACCTCAAAAGCCCAAAGTCTGTTATCCTGACTTCATTCCATTTTAGGCTGCCATGGGCAAAACACAAACACTTGAATTTGTACAAAGGGAACAATTGTAAGTAAAGAGTGTTAACATACCAGAGTTACTCCTCTACTCTTCTATACCAACTGAGCAGGATTCAGGAGCCAGGGCTGCCCGAGCCAACAAAATTATAGATAGAAAGGTAAGGATATATTAGAAAAGCAATGGAGAGAAGATGACAAGAAGAGTAGTCACACAAAAATGGAACACAAAAAGGTCCTTATTAAACTAGGTACGGAAATGAACGCACTTTTGTTTTATATTAATCTCTAATGCTTGCATTTCAGTTAGTTATGGGTGACAATACACCTCAGGATTTGATGCCGCAATAGCCTTGCAAGATACAACCTTAATTTTTTCAATTTTATCCTTATGTGAAAACAATTCTGTTTGAACTCCAGATATAATTGTTTCAATGTGCAAACTCCCTTACAGTGCTTTGATTTCTCTTTAAGTATTTATGCATCACAATTACTAAGTTTCAGATCGTCGAAAGTGGGTGGAAGGAAGAGGTGGTTACATGGGCTCTATGGCAATGTGTAAAATTATCTTCAACCATGCAGATAAGTACTATCCGGAGCCTAAATAAACCTGAGGGATTAGATATTAAGCACAGGTTTTTAGTTAAAAGCATTCAAAACATGATCGTAAATGGAATGGATTAATGAATCAGAAGCGCTCCTTATAATCCACTGAATTTGTAGAGGACAATAGTGTTGGAATTAGAAAGGTTATTAGCAAGGCTGGAAAGGTCTAGGGGGTGAATACAGAAGTTACTGAAAGAGGCAGCGCAGAACTGATAATTCCAAGAAGCAGAAAATTACTAAACTAGAAAGACATTTTGGCAAAACTTATAATAACTACAGGAAAGAAAACCCTCTCATCAGAAATCCTCACTATAAAAAGCTATTCAACCGTTTTCTGATATGGGAGAAGACAGGGACAGCTCTCCTTGGACTATTTTCCTTTATAGAGCGACGACACATGGTATGTGGACTGAGAAAGAAATAGTTTTAATGCCTTGATAAATGCATAACTTGATTGTTTCAATTAAGAAATTATAGGCTCTTGAATACCAGATAACAGAAGCGGGACAGATTCCAACTGAGATAGATCCTAAAGACTAGGCTCAAAAGTTATCTGGCAAATACGTTATCTAACCGATGCTCACTCAGTTCAGCTGTGAAAATACTGAACTTATTTCTTAACCATGCAACATAGCGAGTTTAATGAAGGCTCCAACTATAAACAGTACAATATCATGAAGTAGAACTAAGTAAATCTAGAAGAAATCCAACCATCAGTGGAACATAAAGGCCACGTACCTGGCAGACAAACCTCCAGAGGAGTCTCCCCCTCTTCTTTATCGAGGCTGCTGTTTTCCTTCTCACTGTCCTGTACAATATCTTCAGAGTCGGGTCTCACAGCTGAAGGGGAAGTGAAAAGGATGGTTAAACGAGAAACAAATATTTGGGTAACAGAAGCATTAAGGGGCATGGCCAAGAGGGCAGGATTTGGGGATTTGCCAAGAACTGTTAATCTAGTGGAACAGGCTCGATGGGCTGATTGGCCTCCTCCTGTCTCTGATTTCTTATGTACCTATTAGCAAAACCTTTTTCTTTTTTGCTCGCCATCTTGTGGCCGGCTCCAGAAAAGGCATTAAAAGGATCACCTAGTTTGGATGAAAATCCGCGTATTAAAAAAATTGTGGACAAAAAGGCCCTTGAAAGAACTGAACACAGAGATCTTCTACATGGATTGATGACAATTAGTGTTTTGGTGCAAAAGTACAGGGAAATCTCACCTTCCTTTTCTGAGAATAAATCTGGAGACTCTTCAGCTGCAATATTCTGGAAAATAAATTGTACAACTGAGTTAGTTGTAGGTACAGGAGTCTGTAGTAACCCACGTTCCTAACTGCAAATGAACATTAATAAAGGAGTGCCTTTTTGTATGTTGTTTGTGAAATAAAACGTGACATTAAGGGACTTTTCCTTCACAAATAAAACCTAGATTTAATCTACATAATTTAATCCTCGTAAATATACACGTGCATGTACACTTCTAAATCCATCCTTTGGCTCACTCTTTCCTGGAACCTTATTGCTTTTTCCAGGGGTAATAATTCCTTTAAAAACAAGAAAAAAAGTTGGCTGCTCAATCCACGACACTCACTTCTGTGCGCAATTGGCTACCGCGTTTCGCCCACAAAATAAACAGTCACTCCACTTGACAATGTATTACGTGAAGCGCTTTGAGATGTCTCAACGATGTGATAAAGCGCTAGATCAAATGCGAGGATTATTATTTTTGTAAACTTACCTCCTGGCAGCCCAGCTCATTTGGCAGAGGTTGTGGTTCACTCTTCTGCAAGAGAACATCAGAATCCTCAGAAAGTTTCTCCTCATCTTCCTCTTGTATCGGGGAGGATGGCGATCGCAGACTGCTGAATTATCGTCAATTTTAAAGTTAGAAAACAAGATTTCTAGAAGCATTAATACTGAGATATTTTATTCCAGGGTTATAATTATGTTTGTAATATACTGCCCTTTTAAGCTTTCCCACTCTTGTTTCGAACTACTCAGTTTATTATTTAGGCTAAAACAACCTGCAGTACAACTTCTCAGCGGTCGAAGTCACATTGCCTTGGAGTCTGTTCAGCCTGTTGAGGCATCGATCCAGCTTTGATCTCCTTCTCTCCAAGTTTCCCAACTTACTGCCAGCCTCCTCGCGGCTCTCTTGCCGTTTCTCTCACTGTTTTCTCTCCCTTACATCTCCAGCCTGACAATCATAATGCTCTCCAGGCATTATAGAATTATACAGCACAGAAGGAAGCCATTCAGCCCCTCGTGTCTGTGCCAGGTAGCTTGCTTCTGTTTCTGCTTAGTGCAGTTTCTGCTTCTTGGAGGACGCAGCAGGCATTAAAGAACTTTAAAAACCTACGATTTATAATGAATCTGAACAAATATTAGAAAATTGCCACATTCCTGGCCTGTTGAAATTCAGCCTGTCATATTCCACGTGAGAAACACATTGGAGAAAAGGATACGCAGAAAAGGATAATCCTCTTAGCTTTGAATTTCAAAATTGTGATATCGCTTTGCAAATATAAATCATGAAATCCCACACTATGAACCATTTCAACTATCGCTTCAATAATGCGGAGTTCTATTGCAAGAACAAACTGATAAATATACACCGTTGTGGATGGAAACGTACCTTTCTGAGGATTTGCTCAACTTGGGTTTTTGAGGGCCGCTATCTATCATTCGGTCGATTGCTGACAGTTGCCTGCCTGATGGGGACAGGCCATCTCCAAACCCAGAATAGCTGATTTCTTCGTACAAAGGCACAGAAGGGATTACTGGAGAGACCGATCGAAGTCCGTTCAAAGCTTCCAGAAGAGAAACGGGCTCAAATCCTGGGGGAATGTGGTCAGTTGTCTGAAGATTTAGAAAAAAAACATTACTCTATACAGCCATTCACATAAATTCATTGGTAAAAACAAGTGTCACATTAAAACCACATTGTGCCTCATTGAGACATCCATAGAATCATAGAAACATACAGCACAGAAGGAGGCCATTCAGTCCATCATGCTTGAGGGTCGACTGAAAGAGCCCATTCCTCTACTTTTTTCCCATAATCTTTATATTAAGGGAAATCGAAAGTCTACGGCAATACAGATTGAAAGACTTGGCCTTGATACTAATATTAAACAGCAGGAAATAGCTTATTGGATTGAACCAGAGGCACGCATTATAATAACTATAGCTTGTAATGAAAAAGAGCATAAACTTACTGAATGATCATCGTGTTCCATAGTTTGTGCCAGGACTGGACTAAATGAAATGGGTGACAAAGTGCCAGGCTTTTTCCTCACAGCTCGGATCTGCAACAGTGCTCGAAACGCTGAGAATAGAAAGGTTTGCAATGAGAATTCCACTTCCAGTGAGAGGTTACAAAGGTCGTCGTAGATCCAGATCATTCTCCAGCAAATCTACACAGCATCCAGCACCATCTAATACCTCGTACTCGCAGGGAAATATGGTGTGATTTCAATTTTGAAACTGTAAAATGTGAAGGACAGAAAGTCACTGATCTAAATGTGTTTCACGGTACTGTAGTCAATTGTATAGCAAGGGAAAGTGCCAGTTCTGACCTTTATTCTGTGGAGCGTTAAGTTGTGATTCCCCCTATAGCATTAGTGAAGCCCTATAATTGAACTGGGTCTATCTCAGGATACAGCAGGGGAGAAAAGCTAGCGTCCTGCTTTTAATTCACTATCGGGTCACATCTGCTGGAAGAGGCACATCTTGGCATTTCTGTTCTGAATATAATCCAAGGAGCGGAACAGTTAGCCAGACAGATTTCCTGAAATATTAGTGGCATCATTTGGGCAAAAATAAAAAGTAGTCTATATAAAAAAATAGAAAAATAGACACAGGTAATTTGTGAGAGGCAGTGGCAATTTTAACAAATCAGCAAGTCAGGTGCTTCTTTGTTTTATTGCTGCTATTATTTCAACCTCAACATCCATGATTAATCATTACTGATAATCTATGGGTTCAAGTGCCAGTCATGCTTGCAGTGAAACTTGAAAATACATTGGCCTATTGGCCCGTGACAATAAACATACCAGGGATTAGGAAAATATTTCTCACTTTATGCACACAGCGTATTTCTGTTGGTTAAGTTGCACTATATAATGAATCGTGCACTGCAGTTACTCAAACTTGTCCCTCTTTCCCCGTGACAATATCTGTACTATACTTAACTTTCAGAACCACTGACAGGAGTTGCCTTACGCACTATAATTTTAACATATGGCAAAGGCTGATTGCTGCAAGTTATGGATGTTTCGCACATTTTGACTTTAGCCCACCAATCGCTCAAGAGGAATTGATCTCATCAATTATTTACCCGGAGTAATTTGTTGCAGCACTTGTTAAGTTAATGGTTGGTAAGAAATAATGGGGTCGAAAATGAAGTGCAAGCTGAAAGCTACAACATACATCAATATTATTTTGTATAAAATCACAACCATTCTAGTTTTGAAGTAGCAGCAAAAACATACAGTCGTAATAGACAATACATTCGTTTTATTATTATTATTTGGAAACTTTAAAACCTTGGATGGATGGCCTCTTATATCTTGCGTTATAAAACTTTTGCTTTGCCATTGTATAAGACATTAGCAATACTCACGCAGCCTACAAATAGGGCAGTTGTTAGCCTGGTAGCGTAGTGTGTCTGCACAAGTGCTGCATAAGCACAGATGTCTACAGGGAAGGATTAAAGTGTCTCGGAGGTCAGACAAGCACACAACACATTCGTTGCTGTTGTCGCTGTTCTCATCATCCGAAGGCTGCAAAGACATTTAAAGTAAAGACATTCGTTGCTTTCTTATCTTTCGTAGCTGGGTATTATATTTTCTCCACATCTGAGCATTTACTATTTCACGATGCCATTTCCTGGACTTTATTACTTAACTGGCTATATTTAATTGATGCATGTTTGCAGCTGAGGTTTCACATTTGAAATACAATACGGATTGACTGTTGAAACTAAAAGTTACAGCGTTTATTAATCGGAGACTCAAAATTGAAAGTGTTAAGTTTAAATGCGATTCTTGAATGAAAGGAATTATCAAACTCGGGAAGGTATGAATTACAGTGGATACCTTGGTTTCTTGATTGTTTTTATTTTCAATACCATAGATTTCTTGCAGTAAATAGCTGACCCGGTCAACCTACAGGAAAAACAAGTAGAAATAGATCAACTAACTGATGCAAATCGATTGATATTGAACAACATTTGAATAAAGACCAAAATTTGTAAGGACTGTAGCACTAAAGGTTATTAAAACAATATACTACAATATTTTGAATAAATTGCTCTATTCTTTTTACAAAAACATCAGAAAAATACCAGTGTTTGTTCACGAAAGTAAAAACACACACATAAAAGTACTGAATTTGGCACAGGAACGAGATCAGAGATACGCAGTTAATTTCAGGGCATAAACAAAAATCCTGTAAAACGTAGCTTGTCATTCTCACACATTGTGCATGATCCACTAAAAGCTGATAATAAAGTCTTTTTTTTAAAAAAAAATTACAGAAATGCAAGGCAGAGCCAAACACTGCAGGCTGGAGTAAGGATTTAATGCTGATGTATAATGTTAACGGTCGAGAGCTAAATGCTTGCTCACAACTAGAGACCGCCTGCAGTGGCTATGGAATAAGATCGTGAACCACATCAGCCTCATTATAGCCTGTCACAAGACTGGTAGAAATTCAAATTGAATCAGCATTCCTAGACACTAACAGCAGATGGCAGAAGCATGTTGAACTGGCATCCACAGTGCTGATACATGGGATTCACAAGATACCACAAAGCGTCAAGCTGTGTATTTACTGGAATTCGTATATCCTAATAGTCACTAACCATCATTATGCAGCCTACTTTATTTTCTGCCTAACTCAACAGCAATAAATTACATTTATAGAATGCCTTTCGTGTCAGAAGGATGTCCCAAGGCGCTGGACAATCAAGAGTTTGCACCCTAACCCTTACCCTAAGAGGAGAAAGGTATAAAGAAAGATAACCAGCTAAAATACAGTATCTTTGAAAAATCTCATCTGGTTTCCAACAAGCCTTCTTGTCTGAATTGAAATGTGAACCAATTGATGTTTGATGTAGGTACGAATCAGATACTTACAATCTGCTTTTGTTTTAAGGGCTTCACAGAGAAACTTCCATCGACATGCTGCAAAAATAAACAAAAGTTAGCCAGCCGTTTAAAACAGTTTATAATTTGCCTATTCAAAACAAAACTGAAATACATGCAGTGGCTCACAGAGAGTGTCTAATACCCAGCCCCATTTCTCAACGTAACATCAAGTGCATTATTTACTGTTATGTAAAAAAGGTCATATACAACAACAACAAAATTATGTGTGTAGCACCTGATCTGGGGGTTGGGATTGGGGAGGGGGGAGGGCAGGGGGTAAGGAAGGAGATTAAAGACACAGTCGAAGAGGAGGGTCTTGAGATGGGTCTTGAAGGAGGCAAGGGAGGGGGCGAGGTGGAGGGACTGCGGGATGGAGTTACAGAGGGTGGGGGCAGAGTGGCAGAAGGTCCGCCCGCCGATAGTGGGGCGGGCGAGGCGGAGGGTGTGAAGCAGGCCGGAGCAAGCTGAGCAGAGGGAGCGGGCAGGTTGGTAGGGGCTTAGGAGGTCGCAGAGATAGAGGGGGAGCGAGGCCATGGAGGGCTTTCAAGGTGAGGACTAGGATCATGAACTGTATCCTCTGTGTGATAGGAAGCCAGTGGAGTCGGGCAAGGTTGAGTGCGAGAGAGTCACGGAGCCTGGTGCGGGAGAGGAAACGGGCTGCAGAGTTCTGGATGATCTGCAGTCTATCGAGGGAGCAGTTGGGGAGGCTGACAAGCAGGGAGTTTGCATAGTCAAGCCTGGATGTTATGAATGCGTGTATGAGGGTCTCGGTGGCCTGCGGTGTAAGACTGTGGCTGAGCCGAGCGATGATGCAGAGGTGGGGGAAGGCAGAGTGGGTTCCAGTTCGAGTTATAATGCAGTAAAAGATACTGAGATGTTACGTGTAGCTGGGAAACTACATTTTCTTCAAAAGTATTTATATATTGTAAGCTATAAATTGTTGGGGGGAACAAACATCAGACAGACAACTGCGTTCAACGGAGTTGGCACAGAAAACATTCCAGTTAAACAGTATTTTGTTAAGATCATAAATATTTCTGGAATTCCTTTAGAGTAGCGTTTTTCATATAATTGTCAAAGTGGGTTTGATTCTGGCAAGGAATATAAAAGTTAGATATTTCAAAGGATGATTTGTTACAGACTAAAATTCTCCAGTACTGTACTTGCCCTTTAGTGAGAATCTAATAATTTTGGCTTGGTCCTCAGCCATCTTAGTAACTTTTTTTTGTTGCTGTCTGTTTTTGTAAACCACAGTTAATTGTGGCCAAGAATCACAAGTAACAAAATGTCTAAAATGTCTTTTGGAGGGGCTTCAAACACCGTTTTGAATTTGGGCATCCGTTAAGGACCTAACGGGATATTAAATTACCGTTTTCTAGTTCCAATGAGAGTTTGAAGGACAATTATTTAAGCCCGCTGTTGTTGGAAGGAAGGCACGACTGGAAATAAATAACATTTACAGTTAAAGATGGTCAACAGCTGCAGATACTTGTGCTGTGACATGAAATGGAATATTCGATGAAAACTCAAACTGCACTGATGAATTGAACTCTTGACAGTAGCCCTGTGTGTGCATTACATGAGGACATGGGAGTGAGGGAGTAGGGGCGAGAGAAATGGGTAACCTAATAATCCTTGCATTTGGTTTACGCCTTATCACATCTTCCACATTTACTCCGCAAAGCAAAAGCGGAGGCCCTGTCTCGCAAGAGCAGAAACTTGCCTCATGCCTTTCATAGGGGATAATGTCTTAAAGAACTTTACGGTGATGGGAGTGGAAACCCAGGAAAAGTGGGAAGAGAGGGAAAGGGGGAGGGAGAAGGCCGAAGGAACGGTCAAAAGAGGCCTGTTTTTAGCAGGGTTGGAAAAAGAGGTGGATTAGGAACACAGTGAAGTCTTCTGCGATTCTGTTTTCATTCTTTCGAATAATATTCTTTCCCCTCTTATGCACCATAATTGTGCATTTATCAAAAAGGTGATTGATTCTACCGAGAGTGTACAGTTGTTCAAATAATAGCTTCATTTGGTTCGGGGGCTGACAATAGTTTACAGATTGTTTGAGGTAGGTTCCAAAAGTATAATCAACTCGATGTTTACCACCCACTTGCATGTTTACAGATTCCAGCCACAGGAATGCACAGCATTTGAGTCCGTCCATAACTTAGACAATTCTTGGCCTGGGTACACCACGAGATAGGATCATTGACATTATGGTTAACAGTCAGTTCAGTATACAAAGAGAGAAAGAGACTTACTCTTTCCATTGCAGCCAAAAGAATATGGGCGTGCCCAGAGTACTCTGCAGAGAAATGCAACACCAGATTAAGTATCTAACATACACACACACACATATATATATACTTAAACTATAATTAAAATAACCCCAGTGTTTTAACAAACGTGTGTTTTAACAAATGTCTATGCAATGAATGAAATAATTATTTATTAGTGATGTCGACATATACAATTCACTCCCAATTATTACTTGTATGTAAGATAAGTCTTCCACAATAGTAAAACATGAATATAAGGCAATACACATGGGAAGGGCAATTTCATCAAAGAAGTTAAATTAGTTTGTAAAGCACGCCTCCATTATTTTACATAACTGAGGTTGTAAGTGCTTAACATTAGTGTTGTGATACAGTATTTGCTGTTGTTTTGGAGTTGTATAAAGTTTTAAATCGCAAATATTAACAAAGGATATTTTCTCTGCATGTGCTGCCCGAGCCAAAGCTGGGTTGTCAACTTTCTATTCTCAATGACCAAATCTGACACGAGTTTAATTTCACGAATGTATCTTTGTCATTACTCGTGTTGCTTTGGTTTCCTGAGAGTGGATACTGCCAAAATTCCAACATTGCCGTGATGGTAGCCAGTTCACTTGGGTGGATTAGTTGAAGGTCATCCAGTCATCCACACAATAAACCTTAAAATTAACTGGTGTATCCGTTTGTTGGAAAACAGCAGTGACTGAGACATTAAAATTGTGTACTAAGGAGTTGGCAAGCTCTTGCACTCAGCAACCCCCAGGCAGCAAAGCAGCAGAACTCCCTGGGATCATGCCTGTTTTATATTCTTCCCATCATGATAATCTACATTGTTGAATTTATTGTGCGAATATAATAAGTTTTTAATCTATTCGGGGTAGAAGGGAGGAATTGTTCACAAAGTGAGCACTGCCTACTTTTTCCATTAAAGGCAAAATAACTTATTGATGATGATTACCAACCACTTAACTTACGAGCATCAAAGTCCTGAGTGAGTCACAGCCAACCATTGTATGAGTATTGTCTGTGACTGGAGTTCTGTTTCATTTTACTTTTTTTTAATAATGGTGAAAGCTTTAATATTGCACTCTCTGAAGATTACTAACTTGTCCTGAGTGCCAGAATAGGTTACCAAATACAAGATGGGAATCAGACGAGCAGACTGCCAATACAGAAACAGTGGTAACATTTCCAGGAATTTTGATTACGCAGACTGTTTAGAATCCACAACTTCATAATGCAATTAAGCACCAGTCTACCTAGTCGGTGTAAAAAAACTGTAAATATGGCAAAATCATTGTATTATGAAAGCATAGTGTCGTGTTTTTGTGTGTTACATTTGTAATCTTTCGATTCCACTGAGGAAAACTCTCACTTTTGAGACAGGATCAATAGATCCGCGGGACACACATGGCCAAATTTGGGAGTCCTAATTTCCCTCACCCTGCAAAACACCTTTTATTCTGGGACTTCAATGATTTTAACCGTCTGATCTAAGCAACGCTTTACTTGCAACAGTTCATTTAACTTACACAGGGAATATCATGAATTATTCAGAAAACTATTCATATTGTTGGGACTCAGTATTATATTGCCCTGAAATAATTCGTTCATGAGAAGTGGGTGCAATACTGTTGGAATGAAACGGGGGTTCTTTTCTGTATCTTGGTCTCTCTCATACTCAACCACACCAAAATGCCACAATGCACTTCTGCACTAAAGCATCTGCGTAGCTCGGTCAAAGTCTGAGACGCGCAGAAAACAAATAATGCAAAACATACAAAGCAGAACGAAACTGTTCCCAGCGTTCCAACACGTGCGTCAGACAGATTGTTAGGTGCCCAAAGTGTTAAAAGCACCGCTTATATGATCGTGATGAAGTTAAAACACAGGGCACTTTATGCAATACATTTCTATCTGCTTCTGCTTCCTCTCAAAATGTAACATTATATTCAGCGAAACAATAATACTCACCATCCACTTCATCGACCACAGCCTGGATGACCAAAGGAAATACTCCTCTATCGAGATCAAAGTTGAGCTGAAAGACAAAGGGAAGAACAAATAAAGATTTTAAAACGACCTCCAGAATAATTTAGACTTGAAATTTTGCACCAGCCAATTTTCATATGTTGTGCAATTATTCTAAAGCGCAAGCATCAAGTTAATAGCATACTGTATGAAATTTGGCAAATATCTGATACAACGCTTTTCAGGTCAGGAGGACGTCTCAACAGAAGTTACTGTAAGGTGGCTGGGCATTTTGTAGGTAAACGCCCTCTTGCTACAGATGCAAGGGAGAAAGAGAAAAAGAACTTTAAAGATAATTGTACTGATCAAAAAGTAAAAGCCCGAATGCTCATTCATAATTAGAAACTTTCTGTCCCTGATGAACTGTCTAAAATCTGATTTATGAAACGGCTTTAATAGCACAATTTCAAACCTATAATTACACCTAAAAGCAGAGTAATACTGCACTCTGTCATGAAGTTCAATATCACCTGAAATACAGATTTAAATGTTTTATAAGATGACAGAAGGAACAACTATTAATAGTTTTGCATAATAAGTGCATGAAAGATTGAGGAATTACAGAATCCATCATTCGAATGTGAACATCGCTGTCTGAAATAAGAAAATGTTCTTTGCAGTTTAATGGCACATTTGGGGAAATAGTGCATGAAATTAAAACATTAGAATTCAAACAAATAATGTTACTTGTTCTTCAAACTGTACATGCTGTGCATTTAGTATTGGTAGAAATGAAACAATTACACAATAACGTACACCTTTTTCTAGGATTCACCCCCACCTCTAATTTTTTCCATTCATCTCCCAAAGGTTTTTCCAGTGTGATGACCCTCAGGATCTAAATGGTCATTCTTCATGTGTGAGCACAGGCATATTTGGGCTGTCAAAACTATTCAACTCACTCCAGTTGGTATCTCTCAGTCAAAATATTTAGTCAAATACCCACTGGTCTTAAACCATTGATCTAAGTTTTCAGATTTGTTTTTAATTAACAAAATTGCTGAACTGATCCACAACAAATTGTTTCTGTAATTACATAGGGATTTTCGGGCTCAATTTCAAAAGACAATTTAAAGGAACTTAAATTTGAATTTTGGCTGAGAGAAATCAGATTAAAGCTTTCTTTTAAAAAAAAACTTCTAACGTTTCGTCCTCGGGGATTTGTAGGCCGGGGGTATGCAGAGCTATCGAAACACAAGCTAGAAAAACAAATTAAAGTTTAAAAGTACCATGGTCCATTTTCTCATCAAAGCAAATAACATCACATCCCAATTAATATTTGTTAATATTCTCAGCATTTTGTTTGCAAAATACTTAAATGTAAAGTATTTTTAACAGTCTGCTCGGAGACTTGGCAGCCAATATTACTGAACTTCAAGTCTTCCAGAGTTTAAAAGGTCAGAAGTCCTGATTTCAACATTGCACAGAAATGGAGCATAGTAAAGGCTTCGAATGCTGCAGTGTTTGTAACTATTGTCTAATAATCTACACAAAGAATTCACTATTTCTAGGATTAAACAATACAAAATTATATTCTTGCTCAGTGCTCAGTGTTCGGTTGATCTGATAAATGTTCAAACAAAGTACGTCAATGTTTAACTCCAGACCCAACAAACACAAACAAGATAAAATTACAGACACAAAATGGAATTCTCCCTAAGCTTTCTACCATTCCAGAAATGGATTCCTTATATGGTAAAATTCACGTAAATTTGATGTATGGGAGAATTTGTATTCTCAAACAATACGTTTCAAAAACAAATTGTAGAACTTTTGTGGCTTCTGAAAGGGCACTAAAGCAATGCACAACAAATACAGGGATAAATACTTTATGGCAGGCGTTTGCCCTCTCAGTGTCATTCTTCTTTGAACTTCAGATATATATTTTTTAAAAAAACACAGCTTCTAATTGCACTAAACAGGTTTGAACATTTGTCTTAGGCAGCTTTTGAATCTGAACCCAAAACATCAGATAACCCTCAAAGACTTTAGGTTTAGCATTTAAACTGGAATTAGCAATTGTACTCGAGGGACTCATCTTGCAGTTGGTTGAATTAACATAGGTACTGTATATTTGTACCATAATCTGAAATAGCAAAATTACTTTGGAACAGATGCCAGTATCACAAACTTAACTGAAACGTTATTAACTACTGCCAATTACTGAATCCAATATTGACTTCTCAAACAAAGTAAAGTTGGCCAAAACTATTAGTAAAGGAGTTTGAAGCCAGTCACTTTCGAGGATTTCCCTACATCAGATACGCTCTCAAACTCAAGGTCAGAAGTATTTGATATCATTGTATTCTGTTTATCGAGGCAATCGTTCCTAAATCGACCGCTCATTCGGGGAATTACAAACCTCACTCTCAAAATAACTTGAAACTATTGATTCTGAAGCATCTAATTCAGTAAAAATGTAAGTGTCATAAAATTCAAAGCTATAAAATAATATAGCATTGAGCTGGAGTAAAAAAATTGTTGATATTCTAATGGTAGGAGTTTAATTTAAAATGTGTTGTCACCTGATTGACGTAGTTATAAATTTATTTTAATGAATGCAAACCCCTTCCAAAACAGTTGTTCGTAATACGGCATTAATCTTTCCAAATGTTTCTTTCTAAAGTTTATGCAGGAATTTCTGCTCTGCATTTTCCTCAGCACATCCCAACACTGACAACTGCACAGGGTTCATAGATTCTATCGTCAGTCAGGTTTAGACAAGTTCACACGAGATGTGTCGATTATACACACAAGACATATTATAATAATAATCCTTGCATTTGATATAGAGCCTTATCACATCCTCGAGACCTCTCAAAACGCTTCACAGAATATACTGTAGTGAACTGACTGTATATTTTGTGGGCGAAACTCAGAAGCCAACTGTGCACAACAATGTCACATTCGTAGATTGAAGTGAACAATTTTTTTTGGAAGGTATTATTACCCACGGAAAAGCAATCCGCCAATTAAATAATAACTGGGTTCCTACTTACTACTATGCAAGGTAAACAGGGGCGTGCGGAGTAAGGAAACTTTCCCAACACCTCGCCCGCTGGGAATCAAACCCAGGTCTCTCGCTTACGAGGCGAGTTCTCCAACCACTGAGCTACATACTGATGGATATGTGAGTCATGTTGATTAGATATTTTCATGTTCAAGGACCAAGTATCCCTCCAAAAAACAAAAAAAATAATAAATTGGTCATTTTCAATCTACGACTGTTTGTGTGACGCTGCTGTGCGCAATTGGCTGCCGCGTTCGCCCACATATATAGTCAATTCACTTTATAGTCTATTCTGTGAAGCGCTTTGGGACGTCTAGAAGACATGAAAAGCGCTATATCAAATGCAAGGATTATTATTATTTATTATTATTATTATTATTTAAGTACCAATTTTGACCGGAGCTGACATTTCTTGAACGTTCCAGCACAGTCATTTTGAAAAGCCTTCAGGTTTTCTTTGCCTCCGAGTCAGACACAAAATGGCTGAACAGCCATGATGGGTCAAATGGGCTACTCAGTCATTTTAAAAACCCATCCAACAAGGTATGCAAACACTCATGACATCTGAAACCGCCCCCATTGTGAGGAGAGTGAGCAGTCATGCACTCTGAGCATTCGCACCTCCAGCCAAAGCAATGTTGATAATACTTTTATTATCAGGACGCACTGATGCTGGTGGCTGAACTAGTTTTGCCACTGGATGCCTTTACAAGGTCTCATTGCTCCCTGTTGCTAAATGGCTGGTGTCACTTCCTCAAATATGACATAATAATGCGATGTAAGCGCATTAAGACTTTGAAGAAACCTCTCAATAATAACCTGCTGATAATGGGGGCAGGAAAAGAGGCCGAGGCCATATGCAGTGTACTGATGCACAATTCCTGGCCTCCGCTTATCGTTGTTTTTGGGAGAGATCAATCTGATCGGTGGGTCCCCAATCATTCCTGCAGCAAGTAAGGTATGTAAGGTGATTGCAAAGCACGCGTATGCGATTCAATACATGTAGAATAACAAACTAGGGAGCTTCAGAAAATAAAGAGAAGGGAGCTACATTCAGGTTTCAGCACCTCCACTTCTGTGTTGCGCTTTGTGGAGCAGGCGGCACAGCTTAAATCAGTCACTGTTCTACTGACTAGTCATCAGGAGGGCTCAATTTTGGCTGCCATGTTATAGAAAAAAAGATTTAAATGTTAACTTTTACTTTGCTGGGAAAATCTCAGAAATCATCGCAATAATATGCATGAGAACTGGAATGAATACAGCTTAGATTTTGTTTCAAAAAAACTGCAGCGTTTATCAAGTCTTTATAAAAGCATTATCTTAATAATAATAATCCTTACATTTGATATGGCGGCTTATCATGTCATTGAAACGTCTCAAAGCGCCTCACAGGTTATACTGTAAAGTGTAGTCACTTGTGTATTTTGTTGGTGAAATGCGGCAAAATTGAGCCATACAATCAAGAATCTTGGGTCTCAACTAGATTAGGCAGCAGTGAAATGCTACAATTGGCCTTATCTCCTCAGCTGGCATGGGTGGAGTAGGCTAGTATTTTAAATACATGACATCTGGGAACCCAATATTTAATTCAACTGCAATGGGCCCCTAAAATGGAACATGTCACTCAAGCTCATAGTCAATTCCCACCTGAAGATCAGTCATAGTCTGAAGGGCAGAAAAAGAGTTTGGGAGAAAATGTTGACGACGCAAAATAAAAAGAACCGTTTACCTCCTCTTCCTTCCAATCAGAGATATCAATCTTAAAAGATGGAAGTGAGTACTGCTGGCTCACTCCTCTCTTGTAATGCATGGTTTCGGACTGCATGGATGGATGCTTTGATATATATCTGAAAGACAGAGAAAGCCGTTTTAATCATTAGTGACGAAATTCTATCGCGCTCAGTTGAAAAATGCCTTTCTCCTCCGGGCAACGAGCAAAGTATTTTAAATTGGGTCCCAGAGGTAAAGGCACAGATTAACTCATGATACCATCCAATTGCTCAGTTTTGTGAAATTAATTTGATTTGTTTCTTTCAATCTACCTTCACAATACTGACAATGAATTAGTAGCCTCCTCCACTTTCCTTTTGGGAGTAAAATTAACCAATTATCCCTCCTAGTTGGCTTTATAAAGGAAGGAATTAAAAGCCAAACGTTAGATAAATAGAGAATATGTGGGTGGAAAAAAAACTAGTCAAACAAAGTCGGCAGCTTACACTGCCATCCCATTCTGGAACTCCTCGGAGGCCTGGCAATAGATTGTTATGGCAACGCGTGCATCAGCATCAAAGGTGAACTCCACACCATACAGTACTCTTGGCTTGGCATTCTCATCACTAGGACTGTCAGCTTCGTCTTTGTATCTGCAGGGGAAAAAACAGAAATGTAACCGCGCTCAGCTATAATGAAATTAAAAACAGAAGTCGCTGGGAACACGCAGCAGGTCAGGCAGCATCTACGAAGTTAACGTTTCAGGTCGATAACCTTTCTTCAGAACTCTTTCCTCTCGCCATGGTAAATTTCACTTAAAAAAAACATTTATGCATGTTATAAAATAAAGGGAATAGTCTTGGGAACAGAAGCTAAACTCAGGATTTGAGATTGATGCAATAATTACCATGTCTAAGTAAAAATCTATGGGGTGGGGGGGCTGGGGTAGAAGGGAGAAGTTTCTCTGGACTTGAACTGTCTCTGAGGAGACTATGTAAACCAGTCAGGTCTGCAGTAATCAAAGCAGACTGTTAATGGTTGACAGAATAACAACAGTGAACAAACACATGATACTATAACCTTAACGTGACAAGAATGGTGTCGTAATTATAGTAGATTTGCCGAGATTCTCACCTGATCAACCGGAGGGAGTCTTTTCGAATATTAACCAAACTCCGTAAAGTCTTCACGGGTTCATGAGCAGCTGGCGTCACGTATGGAAACTGAGAACGATAAAGAAAGAAGCAATGTGTGAGGGCCTAACACGGCAGAGTAAAGGGCTAAATCAAAGGTAATAGGGAAATTCTAGAATACAGAATCACAGGATGTTGGAGAAAGTAGAATATGGGAGGGGGAAGAGAGAAAGGCATCTTGTTTAGGAACATGCACTGCATAATTATAACACGGAGCAATGCAGAACAACTGGTCGGCTTCCAGGACTGCAATGTTAGTGAATCAATCTAAAGTGGGAGGGTGTTGACATCACAAAGATAATTCAGGGGAGGGGGGAACGTTTTGAAGAATTTTTTCCATCTCTTGTTACAAATAACTACAGCTTATGAGCCGAAAGAAGCCACAACTAAAGCGATGGTCAGAATCTCTACAATAATGAGAATTCTGATCTTGACAAGACCAGTTGTTATCAAACGCTGCATAGCAAAGAAATTTAACAGTAGCTTCTTTATGCGAAGTATGAAAAGCAACAAAAATTTTTAAAACTTTGGCTCTTCTGAGTTACTGTTCCATAAAGCAGCAAATATTTATAAAGTTAACCAATCCAAAAACATTTACATCGCCTGATGTGTATCTAGCTAAAAATTGCACTTTATTCACATGTGCCCTTTGGAAAAGCAGTCATCAAAATAGCCAGTGTGATGAGGCATAGTCTGGTTTATGTGAAAAATGAAAATCCTGCTATTTCGGGACACATTCCAATACTGAGTCACCGGGCAGTGGGAGATAGAGAACACACAAACACAATGCCTAGCTGTGAGAGAACATCTTCAAATATGCAGTCACAAAAAGGGAGTTTGCCCATCAACGTCAGTTCAGTACTGGATTTTACTGGATGGCTGTTTCATCTATGCACCACTGTGTGGGCAAAGTTGTTTCTCTCTCAAATTCCGCTTGAGGCTTGTTCTTTCTCTATTTATGTCCATTCGTTACGCAATCACTCTCTTATATAATTATTTGTGTCAACAACTTGCGTATCATCATATAATCCTTTTCTCATTATTTTAAGTAACTGAGGATTGCGCCAAATAATTAATCTTTTCTCCAATCAAAATGCAAGTTGATTCCTGAGAGTCTTGAATAATCAATATGCTTCTGAAGACTAGGCGACCAAAATCCATATAATGTAATGCAATTGTTGATACACCATGATATTTGGTCAAATGACATTAGCGGCAAATGATCAGCATATTAATGATGCACACAAACAAGGGATTAAATTGAAATGTCAATATTTGAGGTCCGATCAGAAGATTTATCCCTGTTCAAAGACAAACTAACATCTCACAGACAGTCACCTGGAGCCTTATTTTCATAATTTAGATATCTGTTGAACAGAGCAGAGGTCATTATTTCATAGAAGTTACGGTCCATTAGCAAGTTGCAGGCTGTCCTGTCATGTGAGTGTCCGTCTGCGTGCGTGGAAGAGGAAGCGTCAATATAGGAAAGTGTCTTTTCACACAAATGGCACATCAGCACCGTGACAATTATGCCTGTTCCTGCAAATATATTTTCAGCTTTAATATAACAAGATAATACTTTGTCACTGCAGCCATCACTGTGGGTCTGCAGCAGATTTTTTGGACCGGGCTGTACTTTAAATGGAGTCCTGTAGCTCAGTGGTTAGAGCACTCGCTTTGCAAGCGAGAGACCTGAGTTCAATTCCAGGCAGAGGGCGAAACCTTGGGCAAGTTTCCTTACTCCACACAGAGCCTAATAATAATCCCTCCAAAACCAAAAACAATAATAAATTGGTCATTTTCAATCTACGGCTGTTTGTGGGACATTGCTGTGCAATGTGCTGTGCAAAGGGGGAAAAAAAATCAGCAGGCGAATTACACCATAATCATCTCAATTCTCTAAATTGTACGAGTACATGTACAGTCTTCGGTGGACTGAGGATAAATTGACTCTCAAGAGTTCAAAGAAGCTGTTCAGCACTGTTGTGGAAATGAGAATCATTACATACTAATGGAAATTAGCAGAAACCGTATTTTTTTTTACATTAACAAATTGAACACTTCCAGAAGGAATATCCTCAGACTAATGATGCAAAATTGCAATTAAAACCAGTTCGTTTAGTAAGTAATGTTTCTGAAAATAGCCAGTGTCAAAATTTATATTTTTTCAAAAGAAAATTGAGCAGTGTATAAACACCCTGGGTGAATCCAATTAAAAAAAAGTTGAACTTTCAAACAAGTCCAGAGGCCTCTAGTAATTAATCAGACATAAACCTAATTTTAGTCATAGATTAATAAACAATTAACAGATCAGGAGTTCGGGCACTGCATCCTCTATTAAATTCAGTTTTACAGCCAGTCAGCTCACTTTTTATACTTAGGTTAAACTTGCAGCATATCTGTGCAAATAGATGAAGTTGAATTTCATCACTGCAATGTAGTCCGGTTAGCGTTGGTCCACTTGAAACATGCACTTTTAAGCAAGGCAGTGCTCTATCGACGGTCCTCTATTAGTGTCCAACACTGTCACATTATCATGCTTTCGTGAGGAAGAAGGAACTGTGTAGGCGTGTGATAACACAGAGAAGTGGTGGCAGACAATTTTTTATTCAGTGTTTAGACACTATTAAGTGGTATCCCAATTGTAGCTGGGGAAAGAAATCAGTTCAAGTTTGAGAAAGGACTCCAATTAAGTAAAACAGGTAAAATATTCCTTCAGTAGACAGATTTTGAAAGTAACATTCACTTCCGCATTCTGCAGCAGAGTTTTTGGAGCAGGCTGTACTTTAACTGGGCAAATCAAACAGTCCAGTATTACGTTGCAAGTATTTGCAGGAGGTTCTCCGGAGAAGGGGAAAACAATTAGTAGGCGAATTACACCATAAACTTTCCTTATATTTTTCTCTCCAATTGGTGAAGCCACTCACTCAGTTTATATACGAGCAGTTTTACCACTGGAGAAGAAATAGCAACATTAGCCACTAAATGTTATGGTAACTGCAAGCTTAACAGCATTCACACCATCCTCCAAGTGTTTTGTGGATCTTACTTTACCATGTTTATAAAAACGTTTTTTTATGTGTAGAAACGAACAGTAAACGCAGTGTTTTCCCAAAACCCTTTTTTTCAGAGGTTCGGGAAGCAACCACACAGCTGTGTTAATTCATCAGAACAAAAAAAAATCTGCACTTGGCACAGGAAAGTGGTTAATAGAGGCTGGAACGCCAACATTTAAACGTTCGACATAAGCGTTAAATTTCTCTCAATAATCTTCAGTCATTTACAGTCGTTCAAAGGATTCCATTCGGTGCAAAACGAGAGAAAACTGTCCTGTAATTTCTTTTGTAGCGACCTAGAGTGAATCCAGCATGTTCACACTGCTGCAGACTTCTAAAATCAAGCGTACAGCAAGGAAGCAATTGTGGCCTTGTTCAATCGTACACCGGTAATTCCCTTGCTGCCTTGAAGACTACCTGTGATATCAGGCCAAGCTTGTGATTACATTGCCATGTGACCGCAAGGAAAGGATTGAAAGAGGAGTGCAGATGTAAGGTTCTTTTGTGGCACACAGAGTCCAACTTCAGTACAAATTTTGCACTGCGTTTTGCTACGTTATTTTAAAGGTTATTGCGTCATAGAATACCTGGACGGGTCGGTTTCCCAAGAAATTCAAGTCCGTGTTTTCACCAAATAGGTAGCCCTCAGGATGTGGAGTGTCGAACTTCTCACCGCCCATGAAGAAGTGACTGGCAAAATAATTACCTGGAACGTCAAACAATAACGTAGTTACATTCAACAACTACAACTACTACTACTACTTGGATTTATATAGTGCTCTTCTTGTGGGCTAGTGTCTCAGAGCACTTCAACTTACATAAGCAACCAACAGCGTACAGCAACATATATTGTACATTTTAAACTAGAGAAAATGCCCTTCAAAAGGGAATATCCCCATAAGCCACATCTCCATTAACTGCAGGCAAATTAGACCTTCTTTTACAGAGTACCCTGCAATTTCTGCTGTACGTTTGTAGCTAGCGAGTGAATCTAACATAAACATACGGCAACAAACATTGCTGTAATTAAACATTCTTTTTCCAATTGAAACAAAAGCCAGCATTGGGTATGAGTATCAACAGGTCTATTTAATAAGTTTTTCTTTGCTTCAGTCACAATAAATATTCTGCCATAAAACAGCGAGTTTTGCTCAAAAAACCCAAACAAACCTTCCTGGCTTTCACTGACCATTTCCAAATTTCAGTTGAAGGATTACTTTTATTCAGCACACAATACTTCACACATTACTTTATTTGACATTATTTATAGTGGCTATAAATAATTCTTTTAAAAGTGACGTGACTTAATGCTGTGCACTACCCCTTAAGCATTATAATTTTGGAAATCAGGCAGGTTAAATATTATACAATATTGGCGGCTATGTCCAGATCTGATATTTTCCCTGTCCTCCACAGGCACATTTGAGTTTACTCTCAACAGTAAGGTTGAATTAGGTGGGAATTAACAATATTAAAGTCAGTTTGTATCTAAAGTATGTCAATATACATCTTTTAACATGCTGAATGAAGCCAAGCGATGGAAAAAGAAAGGAGATGTGTAGAACCCGAGGACCGGAAGTCTCAAGAAATTTTAATTCTGTATTCCTAATATGCCATATGGAAATTTATACACCAAACTGTCAACATGTAAAATTAACGGACGCCGATGTCACTGAAATATGTAAATACTGTATCCACACCATTGTGCTTATACAGTACATTAACAACATAGCGATCAATGGCCTGAAATGCCCATGTAACTTAATTATTATTGTGGTTAATTGTGATTTGATGAGCATGCACAGTAGCTTGTCAGAGACCGTGTATAAAAAAGATCCCTCCCCTACGTAAGAGATGATATATAAATGCAAGCAAAAAGTACAGTTGATTCTAGGAATAGATGACACATCATATCATCCTTTTGCCTTTCTCTTATATTTTATATTGTACCCAATACAGTAATTTTCCTTTTTTTCTCACAAACATTCCATTAATACAGACATTCCATTGACAAAAAAAAATGTCCCGGGTCTTACTGAAAACTAAAGGGATCAAGAGCTACAGTAGGGTGGAGAAGATGTTCTGTTAATGCCAAAGCTTCAGTCTAAAAGCTTTGAAAACAAAGTACTAATTCAGCCTTAATACTTAACGCAGTGAAACGAAAAAAAGTTGCTCTTGAACAAAAAAGCCAGCATTCTGCACCGCGGTTTAAATCCTAAAGCAGCACTGTTACTGAGTCCAAACACACACAATAAATCATGAAAGTTCCAAAAGAGCAGGGAAACAGCTGTTACAAAGATATTTTATTTATTACTCCTTGGGTTTGAAAACAGCTGTGAATATAAAAACAAAACGACCCTCAGATTTCAACTAAAACAAACCTTTGATGTTACCTGAAATCACAGGAGGGTCGAACCAAAAGTTTACCCCCAATTTTTCTATGGTTAAGGTCAATGAAAGCTTTGGTACCTACGATTCTAAATTGTTTTTTGTTAAGAAAATGCAGTAAACACCTGATAACTCATCACTGAGACCTTTTCCTTTGGAGCAATGAGTTATCAAGAGTTGATTGTATGTACAGTATATGGCGAGTTAGACATATGTATAAATACATAAGTAAATACGGCCGGGATATTGACAGCATGATGACTTGAGCGGTAATGATCAGTTTAGCTGGGATAGAGTTATTAGGAGTTCACTGTAATGCATTATTTTACTGTATATCCAGCAGTGCAAATCTGATACCACTGTAGTCACTGCAGAACAAGGGCATCGCATGTGATTTAAGAGCATGTGATCTCGGCCATAGATGACTCCTGTTGACTTGTAGAGCATTTCTGCATAACTTTAATAGTTCCAATGATAGACGGTTACAATTTTCTGTAACTTTTAGCATTATACTGATGTCTGTCATTTGAAACCTGTGAAGGAGCTTGAATATTTAAAGCACTATTTACCGCTAAGAGATTTAACAAACCCGAAAAAAAAACACACAAATGCATGCTGACGTTGCTTTATTATGATCCAAGATGAACTATTCTCTGCCAAGGGATTCTCCATTTGTAATTCAATGAACAAGCTGTTGAGGGATTGCAAGATTGTCAGTAAACAATCAATCTCCTTTGTGAATATCATTTTACACAATTAATCATTTCCATCTGTTTCTCAAAACACTTGTGCACAGCATTTTTCAATCCAACATAACACCCAATAGAGATCTAGACTATTACTGAAAGCAAACAATTTTATAGTGCTTAAGTCATTTGAGATGCGATATTCATAGTACAATGAAACTCATGAATGCAAATATACAGCTACAAAGTCCTCAAATATCTCTCTGTTGATTTTTGGCAGTGGTTTTATGAAAGCAAAATTCAAACTTAACAATACACTTAGTCAATTTTGTGCACATGTTCATTGATGCCTTTGTACTTTTCAGGACCAAACGGTATGTCCATCAGGGGAACAGCCATCCAAATGCAAATATAAGGATTCAGTTTCTGGAACAAAACTGGTGGCAAGGACTAGGTAAAATTTGTGCTACTTAACACTTAAGATGTTGTACTAATGAAAAGATTACTCAAACCATAACAATGGTGCCCACGCTTTGTAACCACAACAATGGCGCACCCCCACTCTAACTACAGCAATGGCGCCCCACTTTCTAACCACAACACGGCTGCACCCACTCTAACCTAACCTTGCCTGCCACCTTGGTCTACAAAAACAGTCACCACATATGATAGTAATTGTCCTTGAAGTGCTCTTGAGATATGCTGATGCGATAAGATGCTATAGATATACCAGTCCTTTCCTCCATCCAACCAGCCGATGAGATCACTTGCATCCCTAACCACCACCTGAGATCCAGCTGAGCAAAGCTAATTTGAGTAGAAAGAAGGGATCATTTTCATTCTCCAGATCTGTGCAGCTCAGTATTACATACACATACAATTCATCTCAAACCCAAATCAAATATACATCAACTGAACGCCCCTCTACAAAACTGTAATACCCAGTGGTGGACAATTAAAATGAGGCCTATTAAAATAACGCATTTAACAGCGTGACTAATTGCTGTCAGCTCCCCCAAAAGTATGCAAAAATGTACTCGACTAAATAACTATAAGGAACTAAAGAAACTTTTGTTGCTTGGGATGATGATGTTGTTGAATGTACCGGTCAACTGCCCGCTGTCTGTGCCCGCAGATTAGCCCCAAGCCTATTGGATCAGGTTCTTATCCAAATTGAAAACATTTTCCGATTGAAACGCACACTAAAATACCGCTCCACGGCGGCTCGAGGGCCGTGGGTGGCTGCGCGCCACACGGCCGCGGAGTGAGTACAGTCAACAACAACAAGATTCCATTTATTGAGCGCCTTTCACGTCGGGAGGACGTCCCGAGGCGCTGTACAGTTGGGTCAGGACCCGAGCAGTGGGGGGGGGGGGGGGGGAGATGGTCAGGGCGAGGGGAGGGAAGGGAGGGAGCGAGGAGGGGGTAGAGAGTCGAGAGGGGAGCCGAAGGCTCGGTCAAAGAAAATACACTTTGCCACACTTGGCAGTGAATCCTGCGAAGGGCTTTTGAGACGCGCTCGCCAAGCAGAATATATATATATAGATATATAATTATTATGATCATCAGCAAACAATTCCAGTCAAGGGGGTGGGTGGAGGGAGGGGAGGGGGGGGGGTGTTGAGGAGGAGGGGTGTGAGGAGGGGGGGGAGAGATAGGTCTTGTCGATTGGCTCTTACCAGACTTTGGGGGGTATCTGTAGGCCGAGTTCGCCTGGATGTCGATATCTTCAACTCCTGCCATTCTCCTGCTCAATATCGAGCCCATGGTTTTTTTTTCCTTTCCTTTCCTTTCCCCCCCACCACCTCCCCTCACCTCACCTCACCCCCACCCCCCCCAGGACCAGTGAGTGAGTGAATGAGTGAGTGAGTGAGTGAGTGAATGGAGTGGAGTGGTAAAGCAGTGGAAGTAAAGTGTCCTTTTATTTCAGAATTGATGGAGGGGGCGGGGGAGGGGGAGAGGGAGGGGGGGGACACCCACAAACAAACAAACAAACAAACAAACAACGTCGACGACGACAAAACAACAACAAAGACAACGAAGGCCTCACTGCCCTGTCCTGTCCTGCCCTGTCCTCCCTCCCTCCTCAGGAAACCGACGACATTTGAGAACGACGCAATCGCACGAAAGGCCGTCAAAGAGGTTCAGGTCGAAAAAAAATGTATGTATTTTTTTTATATAAATTAATTATTTTTTTAAAAAAAAACCGGTGGCGTCCCGTCCGCCTGGCGTTTCCTAACCGCCGTTCAACCCGCCCTTTCCTTCACTTTGTTTGTCCTCTGACAGAAACCAAACGACGACAAAGGAGCATCTTTTCTTCACCCCCTCCCCCCCTTCCTCCTCCTCCTCCTCCACCACCACCCGCAGCGACCAACCAACCGCCGACCAACCGACCGCAAAGCGCCGCCGCCACCGACGAGGCCGACGACGACAGGGACGAGACGACGGATGGTCGTAAAAATTGGACACATCCGCTTTACGGCCGGAGCGGAGCGCTCTGAGGGCCTGTCGGGAAATGGAGTCTCTGCGCCGGTCGAACAGCGAGGAGCGGCGCCGGGCGGGGAACTACGAGTCCCGGCATGCATCCCTTCCCTCCCTCCCTCCCTCCCTACCGCCGCGCCTGCGCGCTGGGGTGGCGGGGTGCGTGACGTCAGCGACCAGCCAGACAGTCTGGTCCTGGCACTTGGTCGAGGTGGGTGTGAGGTGGTCTTCTGCTGTCTGTCTGTCTACTGCAGTGGGTCATGTCATCCTCATCCACACAGAGGGCAACTATTCTTTTTGGTTTGCTGGGATCAAATGACCACCCCCCCCCCCCCAAAAAAAAGCACAATAATAATAATAATCCTCTCGCGTTTGATACCTCGAGAACCAACACCGCCACCACCAAGAGCAACAGGATTACACGTGTACAGCGCCTTTCACGTCGGGAGGACGTCCCAAGGCGCTGGACCGGTGTACGGCATCTCAGACACGAGCTGGAGTCGAGGGGGGGGGGGGGCGATGGCATGGTCGAAGAGGTCTTGACGTGGGACTTGAAGGAGGCTAAGGAGGGGGCGAAGCGGAGTGACCTGGGTATGGAATTCCAGAGGTTGGGGGCAGAGTGGCTGAAGGCTCCACCGGCAATGGTGGGGCGGGTGGGTCGGGGGATGTGGAGCAGCCGGAGCCGGCTGAGCGGAAGGAGATGGCGGGTTGGTATGGGGTTAGGAGGTCGCAGAGGTAGGGTGGGAGGGTGGGTCGAGGCCATGGAGGGCTTTGAAGGTGAGGACCAGGATCTTGAACTGGATCCTCTGAAGGATAGGGAGCCAATGGAGTCGGGTGAGAGTGGGAGAGATGGGGTCATGAAGTTTGGTGCGGGAGAGGACACGGGCTGCAGAGTTCTGGATTATCTGCAGCCTGTGGAGGGTGGAGTTGGGAAGGCCGACAAGCCGGGCGTTTGCATAGTCGAGCCTGGAGTCTCAAAAGCGCTTCACAGAATATGCTGTAAAGTGAATTGACTGTATATTTGTGGGCAAAACGCGGCAGCCAATTGCACACAGCGGCGTCCCCACAAACAGTCGTGGATTGAAGCGACCAATTGATTATTGTTTTCTTGAGGAATTATTATCAGGCATGCAGAGCAAGGAAACTTGCCCAAGGTTTCGCCCTGCCGGGAATCGAACCCAGGTCTCTCGCTTGTGAGGCGAGCGCTCTAACCACTGAGCTACAGGACTCCACAATCAATATCTCTGGCTCTCTATTTTTTTAAGTTTTCCAATTTTGCTTGTGCACAAACAGGCAGTGTCTCATCATCATGGGGGTAGGGAATTTGATTGCTGTTGGAACTGTTTTCAAATGAGCCTCTGGAGACCCACCACAGAGAGAGAGAGAGAGAGATGTTTACATTGCAAAACACACACACACACCAACCCATCTCTAGTAATTAATTTGTCAAAGAAGCATGTTAGGATATGTCTTCCTGCTGGCAGTCATTGCGTTTGCCTTCTCATTTTTTTTTGCATGTTTAGAATTTAACATTGTGATACAATAATAATAATCCTTGCATTTGAAGCAGACCTTTTTCACGTCTTTCTAGACGTCTCAAAGCGCTTCACGGAATATACCGTTAAGTGAATTGACTGTATATTTGGGGGCGAAACGCGGCAGCCGATTGTGCACGTCAGCGTTCCAGCCGTGTTGATAACGTGTTGATGCCACTGATAATGGTTATGCTAATTGGAAAACTGAACTTTGTTAAACATGTTCGCCCTAGTTTACAGTAAAAATCCTGTCTTAAGTGCTTTAAGACATTTTGATGCTACATGAAATGCAAGCATGATTATTTTTGATTCTCAAAATGCATCATAATTCTTACTAAGGTGTACCAGATATAGCATCCACTGCATAACTGTTGCCTTAATTTTCCCAAAATTGATAAATTATGAAAAGGTTCCCTTTCCCCATTTGTTAAACATTTAGGAAAAATAAAATATAGTTTAAAAAAAATTGGTAAATAAATGTAAAAAGTCTTGCAGCCAAAAAAAAACTTAAAACTGGTGCTTTTCCTTTAGTACTGTTTTATTCAGATTGCTCCACTGATTTGGCACCATGCTGAAATATAAATTCCCTAATCCACTTACCAGTAAACCCAGATCTTTGATGGAAACACCTTCTTGTACAAAAGTGCAGATGCAGCACACATTGGTAATGCAAGAACAGAACATTAGGTTGTGAGTATAAGAGACCACTTGCAGTGATATTCAATGCCTTTCAGCTCACACCATCTTTCAACAGTTCCCACTCTCCCCAAGAGTTATGGAGATAATTCTGGAGAGGTCTTCAAGCAACTGAGTTCAGATTGCACACATATATAACACTCCCTACTGTTTTAAGCAGAAGTGTCAGACATAAATGTGTTGTGATCCCATAATGGTGGCAATCGTATGACTTGAAATTAAAATTCTGAACGTGGGAACAGATTAGATCAGACTTTTGTGAATTCATCAAAATCTATGAGACTCAGAAATGATGACACTGTACATCCACTGGCTACAAAATGCGATAGCAGCAGAGGAAATCAAATTGTCTGCATACTTTCCGCATATTTAATCATTAATGAGTGTGTTTTATTTACAAATTTATTTTAATTACTGGCCACCTATCAAAGTATGAAATGCATGCAGTATGAAGCTTTTTTTTCATTTGTGAGAGCATCAAATTAGAGCCTTATAGGTTCTGTCAGAATGGAAAATTCAGATTCTGGGTAAGGCGCATTCTTGTGCCCCTCCCAACTTATTTGTTGGAGACCTGGGAGCGTGACACTTTGTCTCCTCTAAGATACCCCTGGGGGGAAAAACATCTCAACAAGCAGAAGTATAGAAGAGAATATGTTGTACAGGGAAATTTTATCAAGAATCAGTGTGTATTAAACAATGTGTATTAATCGAGAAAAAAACCTCAAACTGGACATAAGAAATGAACGAGGATAAAATTATGCAAGAGCAGATGTTTATTTGCTATTAGTATTTATTTATGGTAAGTTGAACATTTATGTTGTGTCAGTTAGTGCAAACAATCTAAGGAAGGCAATTATTTAACAATTGACATTATTCTTGAGGCCTTTGCAATTACTAGTGTTCCAATGAAGATCAAAGCCAGGTGTCTGCACTGTTTATACAGTAGTTGTGTTCTTAGTAAACAAAACCATAGTAAAGCTTTGTTGGGAGGAATCTATTTCAAACCTCGTACTAAAATAAATATAACGCATTTATGATCTGATTGAGATAGCAAGCTTTTCATTGAGAGGATTAATAAAAAAAAAGGGCAAGAGAGCAATAGAAGCCAGTGTTTTTACAACATATAAGATGTTAAACTGAGGTCTGGTTTATAGATCACATGGCGCTATTCGAAAACAGAGGATTTTCTCTCGGTGTCTAATCCCCCAGAGAACATCAGCCATTCACTTCCTGGCTGATTGCGAGTCACTGCTGTGCACAAACAATCTGTTGCCTTCACCTACGCGATACAGTCGCTCGACTTTAATTTGCAGTCATGCCCCGTGAAGCGCTTTTTGAGGCGTCCTCCCTGACGCGCAAGAACACACGAAAGGCTCGACTAAAAAGAAAAAGAACCGAGGTCCATCCAGTTGGCCTTCCACCTGTCTGGCGGTCACCTTCCGCCCCCCCCCCCCCGGTCCCGGGATCCGTGACTGTGAAGCGCTCTGAGACGCCGTCCGGCGTGGAGGGCGCTATGTAAATCCAAGTTGGTGTTGCTGGATCCTGATATCTATTTATTGTGACAAACCCTAATATAAAAGAGCCACAACCCCCCAATGCACTATTATTATTACTACTACTACTACTACCGCCACTACTACACTGACACATTGTATCGACACTCACCTCATCACGTGCTTTCCCCTTTGATAAAAATAACACTGGCCGGTGAGCACGTGACCCACCACCCACGGCGGGTCCCGCCCCCCCGCCGGCTCCTGATTGGTGCAGCTCCCGATGTTTACCTAATTTGGTAAAGACGAGCGTTGTGGGCGGCGGCCTTCTACGGTCCCGATTGTAACACAAGGCAGCTCCCCGTTGGTCCGCCGGCCTGTCAGTCACGCGACGTCACGGGCCGGCGGGTGGGGAGGGGGCGGGCTCCCCCCACCCGCCTGGGGTGGACCGCGTGACTCGGCGGCCGCGCGGGGCACGCCGGGATTTGTAGTCCAGCCTGAGCGTCGCGGTGGCGCCTCCACCGCATTACGTTGTGCTGTCTGGCGGTTCTTGCGCGTGTGTGTGTGTGGTTTTTTTTTTTGGGGGGGGGGTTTGTTTATATATAGAGAGAATATATTATAACGCATAACTCACACGTACACACACACACATAAAAAAACCTCAAACGCCACTCAAACACGACGGATTTCGACGTTACGTGCTGACGTACGCACGCACGCACGTACGTCAGCGGCGGCACCTTGCGGTTCTCGAAGCGTCCTTGAAAAGTGACGGTTAAATTTGAATCGGGAACCGGAAGTCCGTGACCCCTCCCCCCCTCCCCCCCCCTCCCCCGCGCGCGGGGCGAGGCGTTTGTAGCCCAAAGCCCGCCCCGCCCCGCCCAAATGTAGCCCAAAATGTAGCCCCAGTGTGGACGCCTTGCATTCACCATCATCATTAGTGATAATAATAATAATAATAATAAAACCTTATCAAAGCAACACAGTCACTACACTTGCTCCAGCTGCGGAGCGCTTCGGGACGTCCCCACGCCCTGGCGTTCACATGCAAGTACGATTATTCCTATTGTTATTGCCCTAATTGTTATTGCGATCTCTAATTGCCGGTATTCTGATTGTTATTATTAGGACCTGTTGCCGCTATTTGGTGTATTGCCGTAATTCTTGTTGCTCTTCGTTATGGTTAGTCTGATTGCTGGTATTGCCGTGGTGAAGCATTATTATTGTTGTGAGCATAGTATCGTCATACACTGTCGGCGTTGTTGCTGTTGTCATTGTTGTTATTGTCGTATTATTGTTGTAATTGTTGTTGTTATGGTTGTTAGTACTATTATTATTATTGAGGGTGAGTCGAGCCCTCGCTGGTGCGGACTGAGCTGCCAGTCAGTGAGCGAGTGAGTGTGAGAGAGTGAGTGAGTGTGAGCGAGTGTGAGACGGTGGGTGTGAGAATGAAAGGAAGTGAGTTGTGAGCGAGCGAGTGAGTGAATGTGAGAGTGAGTGTGAGAGAGTGAGTGAGTGTGAGACAGTGGGTGTGAGAATGAAAGGAAGTGAGTTGTGAACGAGTGAGTGTGAGAGTGAGAGAATGAGAGGGAGTGAGTGTGTGAGTGATTGTGAGTAAGAGTGAGTGAATGAGAGAGTGAGTGATTGTGAGAGAGAGTGAGTGAATGAGTGTGAGTGAGTGTGTGTGTGTGGGGGGGAGTGTGTGTGTGGGTGTGTGTGTGGGGGGGAGTGTGTGTGTGGGTGTGTGGGAGTGTGTGTGTGTGTGGGGGGGGGGAGTGTGTGTGTGGGTGTGGGTGTGGGGGGAGTGTGTGTGTTGGGGGTGTGGGGGAGTGTGTGTGGGTGTGGGGGAGTGTGTGTGTGTGTGGGGGGGAGTGTGTGTGTGTGGGTGTGTGTGTGTGGGGGGAGTGTGTGGGGGAGTGTGGGTGTGTGTGTGTGGGGGGGAGTGTGTGGGGGAGTGTGGGTGTGTGTGTGTGGGGGGGAGTGTGTGGGGGAGTGTGGGTGTTTGTGTGTGGGGGGGAGTGTGTGTGTGTGTGGGGGGGGGAGTGTGTGTGTGGGAGTGTGTGTGGGGGGGAGTGTGTGGGTGTGTGTGTGTGGGGGGGGAGTGTGTGTGGGAGTGTGTGTGTGGGAGTGTGTGGGGGGGGAGGAGGAGTGTGTGGGGGAGTGTGTGTGTGGGGGGGGTGTGTGTGTGTGTGGGGGAGTGTGTGTGGGGGGAGTGTGTGTGTGGGGGGGGGGAGTGTGTGTGTGTGGGGGAGTGTGTGGGGGAGTGTGTGTGTGTGTGTGTGGGGGGAGTGTGTGTGTGGGGGGGAGTGTGTGTGTGTGTGTGTGTGTAGGGGGGGAGGAGGAGTGTGTGTGGGTGTGTGTGTGGGGGGAGTGTGTGTGTGTGTGGGGGGGGGGGGGGGAGTGTGTGTGGGTGTGTGTATGTGTGGGGGAGTGTGTGGGGGGGAGTGTGGGTGTGTGTGTGGGAGTGTGTGTGTGTTGGTGTGTGTGAGGGGGGAGGAGTGTGTGTGTGTGTGTGGGGAGTGTGTGTGGGGTGTGGGGAGTGTGTGTGTGTGTGGGGGGGAGTGTGTGTGTGTGGGGGAGTGTGTGTGGGTGTGTGGGGGGGGGAGTGTGTGTGGGGGGAGTGTGTGTGTGTGTGTGGGGGAGTGTGTGTGTGGGGGGGAGTGTGTGGGGGGGGGAGGGGGCGGGGCTGAGCTGTCAGTCAGAGGGGGAGGGACCCGTTTGGCGCTCTCAGTAAATATTTGTATTCGCGGCTGTTGTGGAGAGAGGAGAGAGAGAGGACAAACCCCGCGGTGTGTGTGACTGTCTGTGTGTGTGTGTGTGTGTGGACGCAGCACATCAGTGAGGAGGGAGAGGGAGAGAGAGAGAGAGAGAGAGAGCTGAACCCCCGAAACACCCCCTCTCTTCCTCTTCTTCCCCTCTTCTCTTCTTCTCCTTTTTTCCCCCCTTCTCTCCCTCTCTCTCTACTGTGTACTGTGCACTGTCCCTTCCCTCCTACAGACAGACAGAGAGAGAAAAAGAAAGGGAGGAGGAGAAGAAACAGAGCCCCACGTAAGGCTGTCTGAGGGGGAGAGGGGAGGAGAGAGGGGGGAGAGAGAGAGGGGGGAAAGAGGGGGTAAAAGGAAAGGGGGGGAAGGAGAGAAAAAAGGGAGAGGAGAGAGAGAGAGAGATACCTCGATCTGTGAAGACATCTCTGAAGGACCTCTGACGAAGAAGAAGAAGAGGAGGAGTTGTTGTTGTTGTCTTTTTGTTTTGGAACAGCAAATTATTATTATTATTAGTAGTGATCGATTATCGATCGACATTTCGGACCCCACACACACACACACACACACACGCGGGGAAAAAAAAACACGAGATATTATTGCGAGAGAGAGAGAGAGAGAGAGAGAGAAAAAAAGAGGGAAGTGGCCACACGTCGACGTTCGTGAGGAGAGAGGAGCGCGGAAACCAACAACAACAACAACAACACACGACACAGAGAGAGAGAGAGAGAGACGGACGGAGGGAGGGAGGAGGGGAGAGACAGAGAGAGAGACAGAGAGAGAGGAAAAGAAAAGAAAATGTCCGTGAACATGGATGAGCTGAAGCACCAAGTGATGATCAATCAGTTCGTCCTGACCGCGGGCTGTGCGGCCGATCAGGCCAAGCAACTGCTCCAGGCCGCACACTGGCAGTTTGAGGTGAGGTACCAACCGTAACGGGGTGGGGGGGAATGTGGGAGGGGGGTATGTGGGGGTGGGGGGGAGAGGGGGTATGTGGGAGAAGGGGTGTATGTGAGGGGGAGAGGGGGGGGAATGGGGGGGAATGTGGGAGAGGGGGGTATGTGGGGGTGGGGGGAGAGGGGAGGGAATGGGTGTGGGGGGAGGGGTGTATGTGGGGGGATTGTAGGGGGGGGTTGTGTGTGTGGTGGGGGGGGAGGGGAGAGAGTGGGGGGGGGTTGTGTGTGTGTGGGGGGGGGTGGGGGGGAGGGGAGAGGTGGGGGGGTGGGGTGGTGGGGGAGGGGAGAGAGTGGTGGGGGGTTGTGGGGGGAGGGGAGAGAGTGGGGGGGGGTTGTGGGGGGGAGGGGAGAGAGTGGGGGGGGGTTGTGGGGGGGGGGGGAGAGAGTGGTGGGGGGGTTGTGGGGGGAGGGGAGAGAGTGGGGGGGGGTTGTGGGGGGAGGGGAGAGAGTGGTGGGGGGGTTGTGTGTGTGGTGGGGAGGAGGGGAGGAGTGGGGGGGGGTTGTGTGTGTGGGGGGGGGGGGTTGTGTGTGTGGGGGGGGGGGGAGGGGAGAGAGAGGGGTACGTGGGGGCACACACACAGAATCAGCCGGTGTGGTCTGACATGTCTGGCAATGTTACTGTTGTACTGTATGTGTGTGTTATCTATATGTATGAGTGTGTATTGTGTGTGTATTATGTATATGTGTACGTGTCTATGTGTGTATTATATATGTGTGTGTGTTTATGTATTATATGTGTGTGCATTATATATGCGTGTGTATATGTGTATTATATATATACATCTGTATCTGTGTATTGTATGTATTATATATGTGTGTGTATGTATGTGTATTATATGTGTATGTGTGTTATATGTATAGATGTATATGTGTGTGTGTTTTATGTATACACACACATATATATATATATAAACACAGACACCGCATTTGCTGTTTATGTTTAAGTTCAAACCCAAGAAAGACAAATATGAAACAAAACAAATGTGCGTTTGTTTATATAAATGGTGTGTGTGTGTGTGTGTGTGAGAGAGTGTGTAACAAACATGGGGCTGATCTGATGGCGCGGTGGCCATCCGAGTTGCCTTTGCTTTTGTTTACCTTCCTGTCCATTTTCTCTCTCTCTCTCTCTCTCTCTCTCTGACACACACAGACGGCTCTGAGCGCTTTTTTCCAAGAAGCCAATGTCCCCTACAACCATCACCATCAGATGGTAGGTGTCCTCTTTTTTTGGGGGGAGGGGGTGGGGACTGTTTGCCATGTTGTTTTCTGTTTGCCATGTTGTTGTGGTGAGGCCAGAAGGGGGGAGTCAACAGCTCATTCCCCCTCTCTGACTCCTCTTGTTCCCCTCCTCCCTCCCCACCCCCTTCCCTCTCTCTCCTCACCCCTTCCCTCTCTCTGTCTACCCCCTTCCCCCTCTCTGTCTACCCCCTTCCCTCTCTCTGTCTACCCCCTTCCCTCTCTCTGTCTACCCCCTTCCCTCTCTCTGTCTACCCCCTTCCCTCTCTCTGTCTACCCCCTTTCCTCTCTCTGTCTACCCCCTTTCTCCCCCTCTCTCTCTCCCCCCTCCCCCCTCTCTCTCTCCCCCCCTCCCCCCCTCTCTCTCCCCCCCTCCCCCCCTCTCTCTGTAACGCCGGTTGGCTCCGCCATGTTGGGGTCTGACAGAGAGGAAAGAAGAGAGAAAAAATAAATAAACAGCAGAGTTGGCAGCAGCTGCACAGCTCAGCAATGTCTGACTCCAACTGACATTCCCCCTCTCTCCCTGACCAGCACCACTTCACAGTGGGTTTTAATCCGAGAAGCCACTGTGTTTTAATGTAGATCAAATGATCAAAGTGAGTCATTATTTGTCAGGGTGTGTGGGGGGTGGGGGGGGGTCTTTAGTTTGCCCTTACACTAGTGTGTTTATGTCTACACATATCGAGAGATGTCTGTATGTGTGTGTGTTTATATATATATATATATATATATAAACACACACACACACACACACAAGTCGTCCTCTCCTTGTGTCGAGGGTGAAATGTAATATCTTGTTTCAGGTTATAAAAAGATTTCACGGAGTCTTTGTGTGCCCCCAAAACCATATCCCGGCCAATTACTAGAAATGTGCCTGGTGCTCAGTCTGTGGCGGTGGTTATGTTGTGAACGCAATGTTATGGTGTGTATCCGCTCGGCCTAGGATTCAACCCACTGTGCAGAGAGATCAGTATGGCTTATTATTAGCAATGGTCTTCATTATCTCTTCTTCCCCCCCCCCCGCCTTAAAAAAATACATATTTTAGGATTTTCGTTCTCTTTTTTTAAAAAAATAGAGACATCTGAAAATCCAGTGGTCACTTCATCATCATGTGAATAAACTGGTTTACGCTGGCTTTGCATGGCTCTTTTTTTTTGCAAAAAAAAGGGTAGGTCTGCTGTGTGTGTGTCTTGTTATGGTATGTTTTGGTCTAATCTTATTGCCTAAGCCTATCACATCTTAGTGGGTTTGTAGGCTACTCTAAAGTGTTGTTAAATGTTTCCTTGACCCAGGTCACTGAGTTGCCTGGTAATTATTTGAATTATGAAATGCTTTGGAGGGCAGAGGAAGCAATGCGTCTGCTGTTTGTGTTTTTTTTGTTGAAACTTTTTTTTTTGCAAAGACAAATACTGTATTTTGCATCGAAGGTGGAAGGGCTTCATCTCTATTACCTCATGTTAAAACCAATTCCATATCTGTCATTTTAATACAGTGCTAATCTGTAAATCCAGTTAAGTTGTTGGTGGCCTTTGATGGATTATTTTTTATATGTATAATAGGAATTTGATGGATGTATTTTTGTGGGAGAAAAACAATAATACAGATTGCAGATTTGAATTTAGAGGTCAGGGTTGTACTTGGAAACAGTAATGGGGGTTGAGTTTATCTTTTCTAATGCCGACCCTTCTTTGGGAGGTGGGGCGGGGACCGAAGGTGATTGTCAACCAAATTATTTTGAAAACATGGTCTGAAGACGATTTTGTCACAAATTGCCTTTACCACCAAATCACTCGCTCAGCTTTGATGGTTTGAATGAGACCTTTAGCCGGTTCAGTTTCAGGCAAACCACAGTATCGTCTTCACAGTTATTGTAGTAAAATATTGAAAATTTGCTGATAAGATCATTAGCAGTTGAATTTATAAATTCCGTCCTTGCTTTGAACATATCCATGTTGAAAAGCAACGCACCAGTTATTTTTTTTTTAAAAAAAAAAGAAAAATCATTCCTGATTCAAAAATACTGACACAACCTGACGCAAAATAAAAAAAAGATGGCAAGTTAATTTTAAAACGGGTTATCAAAGACGCCTCGTTGCTCTTTGATCAATAAACACCGCCAACAAAAGATCAGGAGTGAATGTGGGCAGCAGTTGTATCGCATACAACCGGTGTTTACATTAAAAATGTGAGTGGTTTGCTGCAGGATTTCCAATAGAATTAAAAGATGGATGCATTCCACAGGAACTGTCGGGGATAATGTTTTAGCGATTAATCCATCAAAGTTAATTTCACCCCCAGCCAGTGTTGTGAGAGCATGTTTATTTCCTGCTACGGCTGTTCTCCCATCCCCCCCCCCCCCAGGCATCAGTTTCCCCAAACACACCCCTCCCTCCATGTAAACACAGACATTTCCTATTTGTCAGGAAGCAGAACTGAAAATGGATTCCCCACTCTTTGCAGAACAGCAATTGTGTAGGTGTTGGTGAAAATGAGCTGATAGATTGCCACTGTTCCACCTACAGCGAAAGCTATTTGTGGATCGTTTTGGTAGAACTTAGTTAAAGGTTTCGTCAACAATAAAACCGGTTTAAAATTCATGGAGGGTTTTGCAGTCAAAAGCATTTTAATAGCTTGAGTGAAAGGCATTGTTTTTCTCGTGGCTAACTGAGCACTTTTAAAGTGTGTGTGTGTTGTTGTTGTTGCAGGTTTTAGAGTTTTAAAAGGAGGGGAAATATTAAATATTCACTAGGATTTGCATTTGTTTTTGCAGCATTTGTAGTGCTTGAGCGTCTTATTTTCTTGGAGCTGAGCTATGGCAAGCAATGATTTCTATGAATAGAGGGAGGACTGAGATCTGGAAATGATATCCGTGCTTAGTTGAGAACCAGATGTGACCTGCCATTCAAGTTGCATCAGATCCAGCCAAACCCCAAGCAACTTAGTCTTGTCTGCCAGCCCAGGCTGAGATTGCTGGAAATGAGACATTAATGGATCAACTGCAAGACTTGACAAAATGAAAGCATTGATGTGATCATTCAGATTTCTTGCTGTGAGCTGAGCAAAACACATGCTTAATGTTACATTTGCTTCAGCTGTTTTTCATCGAAATACAAAAAAAATTCATCAAAATTATGGAAAAATACAGGGCAGAGCATTAAGCTAGAAATATTACGTTAAACAAAATCATAATTATGTAAGCATTTTCTAGGTACAAAGCCTGTCATTTGGACAGGGCAGATGTTTTAGATTAGTTGGATTTTTTTTGCTGGACAAGAGCTTTCTTATTTATCTTTCAATGTAAATATTATTATGATCAAAACAAATGTACATTTGATGAGTAGAGGCTCACTTTGAGCTGGAGGTGGGGGGGGGGGCGAGAGGAGGAGGGTCAAGTGAGATAAGTATAATTATAGTCTTGAGAACCAAAAAGCTACACTCATTTTAAAGAAGGAATAGGTTGGCAGCTGTAGTTTATCTTAAGTCAGATTCTCTCGAACATCATTTCAGAATTCCCTCCCTCATTCGTTTGTGTTGCCTTATGCTCACTGTTTCAAAGCGCATCACAAGTAACAGCCCTTTTTGTAGGCAAATTCGGCAGCCATTTGCCACCAACAAACAGCCACATAGTGAATGACCATTTAAGTCGGAGGCTTGTTGGTCAGGGCCCTGGGAGAAATTCTGTTGTGAAAAGTAAACTTGACCATGCAGTGGGGCTGACGTAATGTCTACAATAAGACATTATGTGCTGCTAAAGGTGCTTCCAGCTTTGTAAATTAAATGTTAATATTGAAATGTTAAATATCATCACCTCTTCTGATTTCTGCATTTGATGTACTTTTTGATCCAGAAGAATGTTAATCTGGGGTATAAACCAGAAAAACAACAGGAGGGGCGCAGTTCAATGAGTATTAGTCCAGAGTTCAACTTCAGAGTCTTGAGGAATTAATATTCAACATTTGATTTTTGTTGTGTAAGGTGGGCAAGGTAATCTTTAAAAGGTAATATTCAGCTCTTATAGTAATAATGTATTCAGGGAAATTTGCTGTGTAGTGTTGAAACGGTTTGGTCAGTCGGCTTTTCAACGAAGTCCATTTATTTTTTGGAGTAATGTTTAGTTGGCTATCGATTTAATCTCGAAAGTCCTGAAAAAAAGACTTGACGAATATGGGCGGTTTCCAATCTAGCAAAAGATCTCTTCCAGCACTTTGGTTCTTTATACTTTGAAGTTGTGTATATCAAATGCAAGGATTGTTATTATTATTGTTGTTGTTTTGTGGAATGGGCAGGAGGTGGTCATTTGTTTTTAAAAAGCGAGTTTCCTTTGCTGGTAAATCATGGGGTGTATGAGTAGATTCTGTTGGCAGCTCGTTTCTGTCCTGTTGGTAAGGATTGTTCCGAAATTCCGTGGAAGTCTCATTAATTGGCTTCGAGCAGGTCTTTGCTGTCCGAATTAGTTGCCGCTCCCTAATATGAAAGGTGTTCTCTGAATTTGAGTCAACTTAAATATGGAGAACGCCTATCGAAGAGCATTGTACCAGTGATTTTTGGAGAGAGGCACAATTTGTGCTGCGGGAGATTTTGTTTTTAACTGTGGCGAGCTGGAGGGCTTTGGTCGGTAAGCACGTGCTGTGTTGGTTGGCCAATTCAAGCTTCCAGTGGCTTGTCGTTCCCTCTTCTGTTCCTTTTCCGACTTCCAAATAACAGTACATTTGCGGAGTGTGAGGATGTCGACGTATTTTCAAGTGCGTTGTGCTGGAGTGCGGCAACAATGATTTTTTATTTCCATGGCGCTGGCTCCCAACTCGGTGTACAATTACAGGAAACGCATTGGGAAGTTGCGGTTTCCAGAGACTCGGCCATTGAGTAGAGTTGGAACGCATAACTCAACAAATACGTCAGCTTCAATCAAGTGAGTTCCAATGGCCGGGCCGGGCCGTGACAGGGTTGACTTTGCAAATCCACTACTATCCAAA